AGTCATCTTCTTTAAATTTTCTGATCAGTGGAGAGTGATAGGTTATGTCCAAGAATATGGTGGATTCAAAACTCCGAAGGTATGCTAGAGAGGAATGGGATGCCATCTTGAAAATAAAAACATGGTTGCTTCTTAAAGCTGACTCATCTGGAGAATCTATCTGAGTATTCTTCAGCAGGAAATTCCTAACACTGGGATTATTTAAGATGTTGTATGTCTGTGGACACAAATGTCTTACACACATTTGTTGCAAAAGCGGGAAATTTGGACAATGCTGAAGAACAACTTGAAGCAAAAGGCCTGTCTGGTCGATATTTTTAAGTAACATTGGCAGTAATATGCTTTCTTCCATTTAAATGTTGTTCAACAATAGATTTTCCATTTGCCTGACAAAAGAGAACTTCATGATCAGAAATGAATACATCACTGAATTCACTAACATATTGATGTAAAGGGTAAATGGAACTAGATTTCACAAAAAAAAACTTCCCACAAACTTGTGTCTAATACAGATCATCAAAAAGTAGCAGACCATGGTTAGAGATCCATCCTTGCAAATCATCAAGATGCTTGGCACAATAAACTGGTGTTTCACTGGCATCTGTATTCACAGCCATAAGACTACATGTCAGTCATATAAAATAATGGTTATGCATGAGCAGAAGAATATCTTTTTGTCACTGGCTGCTGAAAAATGTGCATAATGCAGCCATGGATCCACAGCTGCTGTTCAAAACTCATGAGGCACAGTTTTACCTTAGAGGTCACATCAATATATAAAGTAAATGAATATGGAGTGAAGAAAATCTTCACCCCATTCAGCAAGCGTCATAAAACGATGTAAGAGTTAGGGTGTGGTGTGCTGTAAGCATGTTGCATATCACTGCCCTGATATTATTTTCAGAAAACTGTGAATTCAGACTGGTATGAGAACAATATATTGAATCCATTCTTCAAGGAACTGACAGCTAAAGAAAGACAATATGAGTATTTCCAGCAAGATACTGCCAGAGTACATACTGCCAACAAGTCCATGTCCACTGTATGTGAGATGTTTCAGAGGAAAATAATCAGCAAAGGACTCTGGCCTCCAAGATCCCCTGATCTAAGTCACTGTGTATTATCCTTGAGAGAACTCGAAGAGTAACAAGAATAATTGTCATACTGCTGAAGAACAATTAATGTGTAATTGCTTAAATTTCTGGGGATGAACTTCAGAGAGTGTGGCAAGACTTGTTTATGTGTTGTGGAACATGAGGGCCAAAAGCAGTTACTTCTAGCAGTTCTTATAAAATATGTCAAATCTGTGTTACTTTCTTACAGTAATCAAATATGAATTTCTACGTAAGCAGATGATATGAGAGTTTGTGACACACGTGGGCAAAAAGCATGAACAGCTGTCTTCATGGTCAGGAAGTGATCTACAGTGACACTATCATGACAGCATGTTTCCACCTCAGCTGAAATAACTGGGAGATTATAGAACCTGTTGAAATTTGTGTTACTTCTACTAAGTCATTCTGTAAATGGAAACTAGACCAATGTCCATTTTAAGATATTGGTTGATCAGGTATAGAATCAAATTGAAATTTGTGGTTCTCATGGTAGTTGAGTATTCTGATCATGTCTTCTGGGATGTGATGCTGTGCAGTTTGTTGGATGGGTACAAATGTTTTTGAGGAACCTGCTGCCTTCATCTTCAGGGGAGAAGACTCTTCTACCTTGAAGATGGAAGAGGTAGGTTTCTCAGAGACATTGATACATATCTACCATACAACATGGTGTCACATCCCACAAGAGAGTACTCTTCAAGTCACAGCAAATAATAATGTTGAACCATAATGTCAGCATTATTTTGCCCATTCCTATTACCTGGTATTTTGGAATGGTTGGACTGAGCATGATCTTGTAGGATAAGCATGTTTGGATTTAGGACGGAGAAATTGCATCACAAAATATCTCAGCAGATTAAACTTTTAAAAAACTATCATTCTGTGGGGGGAGCCAGATTTTACCTCTCTACTTTCTTACAAAAACATAGAAGACTCCTGAATATCGGAGGACAACTTATCCACTTTGTAGTTTAACAACAGAGCTCATGAATTACTTAATTTCTTTACTGTATCACCATATTAGAAGCAGGCATGTGCATGTCTCAAATTTTCAAGACCGAATCAAGAAAAAATTCTTGAACTTGATTTTAATGTTAATTTTTCATTCTCAAACTCTGAGAACTTTCTTTGTGAGTTAGGGTCACGTCAAAATAGTATAGCATTTGACTGAACGGAAGATGAGTATTGCCTCCTTTTTAAGGGTTACAAATCTATAAGCTGTTGTCATCCCTTTGTTTTCAATCCATATAAAACTTTAGCATGTTCACAGCACAGATCACATCTTGCTGTATCGTATTAGGTGAGACTTCCAGACACAAGAGACAGTAGTCTATTTCAAGGTCAGAAGCTGCAAGCTGCCACGAGGTTGTATGAAATACCGTTAAGTTATGAAACACAAATGTTGTAATTTGGTGATTTACAAAATCAAGAGATTCTGTGCTAATGTGTGTCACTCAACATAAAAATGGCAGGTCAAGTCAAGAAAAGGAGTATTAGTGTGAACTGGAATAACACATAAAAGTATCAAGTGTCACAATTATGGTTTTTATTTTAAGATTATGGTAATTAAACATAAAAAACAATATAATTATGGAGTGTAAAAAAATGCAGCATCTCCTAATGAAAACGGCCAAAACTGGACACAACAGAAATCAGAACTTTCCAACTCAATGCAAAAATTGTCATTTGTACAGATTCAGAGACAATGGATTGTCAATCATGCAACATAATTACTCAATGAGAAGATGAAATTTTATAGTCGAACTCAGGGAAATAATGTGGAGTAACAGGTTCTCTTTATAGCAAAGGTCTTTTTTTGCAAGAAGACACCATCACTGTTGATGAAATGCCAGTGTATTTTGACACATCATCCAGTTATGCCATTGATGATGTGGGTGCAAAGCCTGCTGTCATAAAAACATTAGACAATGAAAGATGTGAGTGACTAATGCTGACCAAGTTGGCTCACAGCACGAAGCTACTGCCATGATAGAGAATTGAAAAGACTATGTCTAAGGCTTGGCTGCCTATGAGGCTAATAATCATGTCTCTAACTAAGGGACAGATGACTAAATGAACCGATGAGGGACTGGTTACAAGTTGTTTGGGACAGGAGACCAAGAGAAGTGTTGAGAAAACAAGGAATGCTTGTGTTGGTTGCATCTGAAGGTAATTTGACAATGGACACCCAAGCTATGATTCATGCAGTGAATACTGACATTGTGGTCATACTTCGAGGGATGACTTCACAACTACACATCCTAATGAATAATTCTTTTAATAGTAATTTGAAACAATTGTATTTTAAATGGCCCTTGGTCGGGGACTATATTCTGACACCACAGGGAGAATAAAAAGGCCCAGTGTAAAACAACTATGCCCATGGATCAAGACCATGGCAACCTATATATCCAGAAGTGATGGTCAAAGGATTAAAAAAATGTTGTATATCTGATGAAAACGTCAAAGAAGATGGGAATGTTGGCACTGAGCATGAAAGCACGAAGTGAATCCGAGATGAGATGGGAATTGTGAAGACACTTAAGCTGAGATAATTGATAAGAATGGTGAACAGAGACGGGTGAAGCAGGATGAAGACATGTGAATTCAAGAAATAAAATAACTCCATAAAATTCATGTATGGTATGTTTTATAATATTCATCTTCTTCCATGTATTTATAGTAAGATTATGAAATGAATTCATAAAATTACTTGTTCTGTGTGCACATGTTTCCTAGTGCAGAGTCATAATGCATTCCAGTAAATGTGGCAGTAATGTCAGTGCACTGTGGAGGGGTGGTTATTATTATAAATTACTGCAGTAAAAAGATTTGCACTCTATAGAAAATTCTCATTCTTGTAATCGCCTAATCACAATTAGAATTATGACTCTTAACTTTTTATAATCTCTAATTTTATATATTTTAGAATAATTGTTAACACCATCTAGTGTCATTCAATTTTTGAATATTTATTGCCTTTGCATGTTTCGGTCAGCTGACCATCTTTTATTTGGAGCCCTCAGAAGTCCTTGCAGTGATGTCCCACCCATCTTTTTTAGCTTGTTATGGAGCTGAATTGTTATGTCTAGTTGTTTCCTTTTTTTCTCTGCTTTGGGGCAAACTGCTACATTCCATTTTAACAGAAGAAGCACAAGGACACAAACCGTATCAGTTTAAGATTTTAAATATTAGACATCAATAATATTTTAATTCAAATAATTGTAAATACCTTTTTATGTAAAAACTTCTATGTATGTATTACAAACTTTGTAATAGTAGTTCTTGAACATGTTGATCTTATGCCTTCTGGAAATGGTCCGCTAACCGAAACATGTAAAGCAATAAGTATCTACAAATCGAATCACACTGGAAGATGTAAACAATTATTCTATAATTTAGTTTACTAGTGTGATGGACCCTAATGATTAGAGTTAAGTCTAATTTTAAATTTTATGTTAAATCTTCATGTTATCTACAAGCTTTCTTTTTCATGAAACCCTTCTTTTTATAAACAAATGGCAACCATGACCACAAGGGTAAGCCATCCTGTCTATTTAAAAAGCCATTCCAATAACAATCACCTCAGGTCACATTTATGGTCTTCTTCTGTGTTACTGTTGGACAATGTCTATTAAAGTAAGATAATATTAATGATAAAACAAAAACTAGATTTAATTAGCAGTCCTGAAGACTGCATCTCTACAAATCATATTTCTGTTAGTCATGGAGATACTGTTATATAAATGTATCACTTAATAACCTTTTACACAGCAATCTCATAAGGGTAGATATGAATGGAACAGTGGACTATAGTGGACTATGTATTACTTTGAGTTACTGTGCACAATCAGGAATTTACTGCATGCAAATGGTTCTGTTACTCACAGCTTTAGAAGAAGAGATGATGCAACCACTGACACAGAACTAAGAGCCATGGCTGCTGATGCCATCCAGGGCTGCAAATATGCGAAACCAAGACTCAGAACAAGTTATGTTAATAGAAATTAATTCCTCTGCATTAAAAAAAAAAGACACACACATTCATTACAATATGAGCAACTTCTCACTTCACTCTATAAGTATTCTTGCCACCAAACGATATCTGCACATTTACTTTAATAATTTCTCAGTTAGTGAGCCATTGAGCTGACCCATTTTCAGTTTCTAAATAGAGGTCTCAATTATAAGAATTATGAAATTTTTACAAAGGAGCCTGGGAATTCTATCAACTAACACAGTTAGATATGGTAATAACACTGTTACAGAAGAAACATTTTTCCCAATCTGAGGAACGCTAATTTGAACTTACCTAGAGTTTGGCTTCTATGGGAACACGATCAGTTACAAGTGGGATACAACATTAAAAATGGAATACTAAAAAATAATATATTTAATTACTGGGATATAAAATATCCCATGAAGAAGAAAAGAATCTGAATGTGAAAACTGTAAAGACTGTCAAATGCTAGGAAATATAAACTCATTACTTTATGGAAGTGAATTGTGGTCGATAAGAACTGACAAGAGAAGACTGATACCAGCAAAATTGTGTTTCATAAGGAGGACTGCAGGAAGTACTCTTTAGGATGACTAAATAAATGGAAAATTATGAGGGATCAACACATTCCATAAACACAATTTACGGAACAAAGAAACTGCAAATAGCACACTGCCAAGATGTGTTCAGATGGAACTACAAAAAAGATTTTATATCACCCACAAGGATGAAGTTTGAAAAAACTTCTGAAATGACAAAGGAATCTGTTTTGGAGGAACATTCTGCTTCCACCTTCAGGGTCAAAGAGTATAATAAGCAAGAAACCAGCATGAAGTGAGCTGCTGCCTGTTTCATGCCTCATCTGCTTCATGGAGGTGATACGTTCCTCCAAAACACTGGTTGATTTTCACAAGACTATACAGTGTTACCCAGAACACAGAGCTCTGCACAGACACTGCTGTGAGAACCTTAAATTCACTTTAATTTTACTGCAACAGAATTCAAAATCTTACCTGCAGAACGAATCCAAAAGGACTAAATACACCAGCTGCAATAGGAATGCCAATCAAATTGTACATGCTGGCAAACAGGAAATTAAGACGAATCCTCCAGACTGTCTTCCGTGAGAGATCCAAGCAGCCAATCACATCCAACAAATCATTCTGCATAACAAATACAATATTGCATAACAGATACAACTGCTATCAGTAACAAAATATACGATTTTAATGAGAATATATGTATCTACAGTACTTTTATAACAACTCCATAGGAAGTAGTGGATTGGAATATGGGAAATTCAACATATGTGAATCTGCTAAGAGATATTCATTGCATGGGTATCTCACTGCATTTAAGTGTACCTGTGTATCTGGCATAAGAAATTATTGCCTATACTGCAACAATATGAAAAAAGAAAAACAGACTTTATCACAAACATCGCATTTGCTATCAAAGATTCTTTATGTATTTTCTTTTCCTATAAAGTGTTCCCACTTTTTTAATTTTTACACAGAAGTTCCCATAAATCAACTTTCTTAATTTAGGTTCCATATTCCCTCTCCCCAGCCCCCAAATCTTAATAAACAGTGCATAGTTACAGTTTTCCTTAATTTACTATACATCATTTGAGACTGTAAATTAACCGTGACTGACATTTATCCCTGCCTGCAGGTCTGCATGTTTACTATAGTAATTATTCATGACTACGGGAAATTAAAACAATACGATGTTGGGGTTATCCAGAAAGTAAGTTCTGAAGGGCTATTGGGGGGGGGGGGACAAAAGAAAAAGAACTTATTACCAAACCATTTATATTGTCATTTGATGTACATAACATACACTACTTTGACATAGTTTCCACCCTTGTTGAGGCACCTGTAGTGGGGCACCAGTGTCGTATTCCTGCATCACACAATGATGCTGCCTACAATGCAGAGTTTTCAGATGCAGGAACACACAACAATCACTTGGCACTAAGTCTGGCCTGTATGGAGGAAAACTGAATTGTTCTTAGCCTATTGTTGCAATGAGGTCTTGCATTATGGTGGCAGCATGGACACGGGCATTGTCATGAAAAATCACAACATCCCGACTAAGTGTGCCATGCTGCTTATTTTGAATCGCACAATGCAATTTCTTAAATGTGTCGCAATGAGACACCTGCGTTGATTGTTGAGCCTTGAGGCAAGAATTCCACAAGCAGAGCGAATTTTCTGTCCTAAAACTCTGTGCACATGATCTTGCGAGTTGAAATGGTCTGTTTGAATTTCTTCTTTATTGGCGATGATGTGTGCCTCCAATCCATGGCCTGCTGCTTCGATTCAGGGGTTACGGGCAACACCCATGTCTCATCCCCTGTGACTAAGTGGCTCAGGAAGTCATTGCCTGCTCATTGTATTGTGCCAGAAAGGTAAACACACTGGCCTGCCATTTCATTTTGTGTTCTTCCATATGAATCTTTGGCACCCAATGTGAACACAATTTCCAAAAACAAAGTTTATCAGATACAATTTCGTGAAGTGACTGAAATTTGTGGAAAATGCGAAGAAAGGGACAAAATGGTGAATTCTCTTGAATCCTTTCTACCACTGCACACACCAAATCTTCATTAACCACAAACAGTTGGCCTTCTGCGAATAATCATGCACATTTCTGCATCCTTCATTAAAGTGTTTCACCCATTTCTTTACCACTGAATCACTCATGGCATGTTCTCCATACACATTGCAAAGATGATGACGAATGTCTGCTAGTTTCATGTTTCTTGCATTCAAGAAACTGATTACAGACCACATTTCACATGCAACTAGTTTCTTGATTTTCTTGAACATTGTAAACACACAGGACAAAGTGTAAATGTTGCTTGACTGTCTGCAAATGGTGTCTGTGCCTTCACAAAGGACCAACAAACTCTGCATGCATGCACACCATTGTGACCATAGAACTGCAGTGGCAATATGTGCAAACAGAACTTATTTTCTGGATACACCCCATAGTTTTGTGTAAATTTGTCCACATGATCTTATAAGCCTACTAAAACATAAAAAGGTATAAAGCTATCCATGTAACTGGCCATGGAGCCTTATAGGGTTGGAAGACTTTCAGGCTCCAGAAATTTCTGGACAATTGGCTAACAGATGGCGGTGAGGTTGTCAGCCTTATGCACCAGCCGCCCATTATTCCCAGGAAGAATCCCGGTATTCATTTATGTTAGAGGCTGAGTCGACTCTAGGGCCGCAGTGTGGTTGGAAGGATTGGGTAAATTGAAAAATTCAATGACCTCAATGGGAATTTAACCTGCAACCTTCTGGCTTGCAGAATAGTGCCTCAGCTAATTACGCTACCACATGCCACCTTTATAAGCCTACTTCATTTCCTTAAGGGAGTAGAGCCAGCTAAAAGTGCAACTCCAATAATGAACAAGTTCCTTCCTTTGACTTGAAACTATTCTTTGTTAAAAAAGAAAACTAATTCTGTATTTGTGTACAATAATCAGGTATTCCAGCTCCTCATAAACTGACGCACATGCATATTGCCTGGAACAGAATTTGAACCACTGCGTGTCAATGCCATTGACACTCATATGCATCATGAGCCATTTGGAAGGTTCCTTTGTAGAGAAGTAAAATACACTGGGTAGAACTACTATCTGGTGCATTATAAATCATATTAACCCCCAAGAAAGACATCTGCTCCTGGGGAAAGTTATGCACTTAGTTAAGGCATCATAAAATGTCATACTTTCCTAAGTGTCTTCTTCCTCAGACAAAAATGAAACCATACATAAAACTATCAAAATGTATATACCCTCATGAGAACGACGTCAGCTGCTTCAACTGCAACATCAGTGCCTGATGAGATGGCTATTCCAACATCTGACTGGGCAAGAGCTGGTGAATCATTAACTCCATCACCAACCATGGCAACCCTGTAACCCTGCTCCTGGAGTCGCTGAATCTTGGCAACTTTATGCGAGGGTAACACTTCAGCAAATACCCTGCTGATGCCAACCTGACAAAGGAAGACATATTTTCAGTCAAGGTAAGGTTTCCGTCAACATAACAAATGTAATTTTACCATCAGTCAATACTCAGAACGAATTTTATTTTCTACTGCTACAACTTTAAGTCCTCATGGGACCATTATCAGGCAGTATTATGATCGTAGAGCTAAAATTACTGAACTCCTTAATATGGATCCATATTTAATGCAAAAGTCCATATTATAAAGTTATGCCTAAGTTAGAATGTAAGAATTGCAATAATGACCTTATCAAAATATTAAGCATAATCAAAGAATTTGTTTTAAAATTTGTATTAAAGTATTAGAATGTAATGTTTATCAAAGCTGAATATATGCTGGACAGATACTGTAACATGTTTGGAGGACTGGAGATGGGGTTTGGATTGGTAATTGGATTTATTAGATCTTCACTAGTTGTAACTACACTTATTACATTATTGCGGGTTTACACCATTTACACTCCCAACATGCTAGTCTCTTCACTCTATCTGCACTGTCTGCACTGTACATGTTATACATACATTTGGTATCTTATAATCTTCAATTACCCAATGATATATTCTTTGGCTGATAAATTAAGCCACTATAAGTTTGAAACATTTCTGAGGGGGCCTCATCATCAAGCAGTGATGTAGACTGTTACATCATAACTAGAAAGTTACTAAATTCTGTTTTTGACATAAGATGCAAGCCAAAACTGCAATACCAGAAACCTTGTTGAACATACAGGACTGTTCTTCTATAAGACTGCCCACTCAAGGTACAACATATGCTTGAAGATGTTTCAGACAAAGTTTAACACTGGCTGAGCACTGTGTATGGAACAGATTAGCAAGTTACCTGTCGAGCTATAGAAGTTGCGGTCTTTCTATTATCTCCTGTCAGCAAGATTACTTCAAGTCCCATTCTCTTCAGTGAGTACACAGCCAGATGTGCTTCTGGCTTCACCAGGTCTGCAACACTCACCATGGCAACCAACACACCTACAAACAGTTTGACAACCTGGTTCTAATTCTGTAGAATTTCAATGACAAAAGACAATGTGTACAACTACAAAGATTGCTACTGGAGGTTTAACTTCAGTGGTTAGCACACCTTTTGCATATGGGAGGTCCTCAGTTTGACTCCCGTCCTGATAATCAGCTCTTGACAGAAGTGTTCAAGACATTCAATTTGTATACACAAATGATAGAAAAATACACTAGAACAGACTACAAACCCTTCTTCTCACATTTATTACTTATCAAGTTTTACCATCATCCTGTCACTTCAGATTTGATGACAACTCAGTGTTTTTTTCAGTCAGTATGCACTGGTACACCGACTGATGAACAACAAGGCATGACCTGACCTGGGATCAAACACGGGTTGCCGCAGTGGGAAACTGATGACTAACTGCCTCAGCTATGGCATCATCTTTGGCACATGTGTTGAGCTGGCATCATGGTTGAGACTTTCAGTGTCAACATTGAACACTACTCTGAAGAACCATGAAGAATGAGAAAGAAGTTACATCCAATGTGGACCTTCTTCCATGAAACTGAAATCACTGAATTGTTTGCCATTTCACTTGCTGCATGGTCCAAGCAAGCAAGCACATTAGGGTAATGCTTCCACAAAGGCCACCCACCTCATCTGGGAATAGCCAACTTTTTTGGCTTCCAATGCATGATAGACAGATTTAAGAGGAGCCACAACACAGATTGGAAAAATTACAGACTATTGCAAGTAATTGAAGCACTCAACTAGATACAAAACTTGATGCTAAAAATCACAAATTCTTGCTCTTCATTGATCAATGTGCTGCTCACCTGAAGAACACAACATTTCTCATAAATATCTAAGTTGCATTTCTCCCAGCTAACTGCATCAGCCAGCCACAACCTATTGATTTGGAAATCATCCATGTATTCAAGTGCCATCAGAGAAAGCAGTTGATTCAGAAGACTGTAGCCATGATAGGTGGGGGAATGCTCCAACTTGTATCTGGGAGACCAGCCATTCTAACTGAAGTTTTCTGTGGCTTTCCTCACCATCTTTGAGACAATATTGGAACAGTACCTTAATCAGGCCATGATGGATTCGTTTCAAATACTTAATTCATCATTCATCTGTCACTCTAGAATGTGATGCTATATAACGTAACTGCTGACAGCATCATAAAATAACATACAATATGGCCAATCAACACCAAAACAGGAAAGGTGAATAGTGTACCCTACTTAAACTTACTATTATCTAAACTTTATACTTAAAATCCTATTTCAATATCATTCTTCAATCTTCATCTTGGTGCTTCAAGTAGATCATTTTCGAGAGGTTTGTGAAAAAAAATTTTCTCGTGAAAATTACACGTACAACTGATCCTAACCTTGATAAAACTTCCCTAAAAAATCTTGAGAACTGTACAAATTGTAAAGTACTTTGCTAAGTAACAGCCTTCATTTCTCATTCAATTCAGCTTTCTTAGGTCAAAATATTTTACTTCCCTGGAATTTACCTGAGACAACTTATGATAACACAATGAAATCCATGGTATTACCATTTATGGCGCAGATTACAGCTGTACGACCCAGCTCCTCCTCATCAGTCATCCTTGTATCAACTTCATGTGGCACATCCACTGCATTGCGTTGCATCCACTCTCGATTCCCAATAAGAACTTCATACTGGTCTGCCTGGGTAGCATGTTTGCTGTCAATGTTCAGTAACTGTTGCAGTTCAATCAGTTGCTTCTCTTGGGAACCCAGCATGCTCTGCACTATATCAATGCCGACTCCATTTACAGTGAAGTTCCTTATGCTGATGTTCCTGTAAGACAGACATGTAGACTGAATTAGGTTAAATGTTAAACAATCTGTTATTAATGCAACACAGCTCAAATCCATGTATGTAAGTTCAATTTAAGTTCAAGATAAAGGTAGGTTACCTACCTTGCAAGGGTAGGTTAAGAAGGGCTTCAAAGGGTAATAGTATAGTATAGTATAGTATTTATTGCATTCAAGCAAATCCAATTACAGGCCAACACCACTGGACACAGAACAAGTCAAATATCTTCAACAAATGCTCCAACAATGGAACTAGTCAACATAAAATATACATCACCCTAAAATATACATAACACTATACCATGTTTAATTGTAAATAAAATAAGTTAAAATTGTAATAAAAACACATTACATAATAAATTCATTCAACTTAGTGGCTTATATATCTCAAACCATAAAAGATCACACATCCATCAATTATAATGAGGTATGTTTATTACTTGGCATACCAGTCAAGTTGGAGATTATATCTTACATGTTCAATACCAAATAAAACCAGTCAAGGTATAAGCTTGCTATATACAATGCAAGTATCAGTGCAATATCCTTGAATGTACAACTGCACATCCAAACAATGCATGCAATATTGAATGAACATAGTAAATTACTACTCATTTACACAACCAAAATATTCATCCAAAGTATAAAAGGATTTTGAATGTAAAAATGCATTTAAGGCCACTCTAAATACCTTATTATCATGTGCTACTTCCTTTATTTTTAATGGGAGACAATTAAAAAGTTTAATTCCATAGCAATAAGGACCCTTCTGATGAACTGTTAAATTTGTCTGAGGGCAATATAAATCTAAACCGCGCCTTGTATTGAGACCATGAATCTGTGTTGATGTATGGAATAGACCCTTATTATTTACAACAAATATCAATAAAGAAAATATATATTGGGACTGGAGTGGCAAAATCCCCCAATCCCTAATGGTATTAGACTCCACTAAAGTCTGAACACATCATATGTGAAAGGAAATACAGGCATCAGTGCTAAGTTACCCAATGTTTTCCAGAAGTAAAATGCAAACACAGTTCATGTTTTGAAAAATCAGAACTCTTTCTTTCTCTTTTTACATTTTGTAATATTACAAACTGAATTTAATTTCTTCTTGCTGACAGAATGACACTCTCTGAAAGTGAAGTATACTCACCTAGACTCATTCACATAATTGATGAGTGTCTCCGAACGTGCTGCATAAGCCAGCATGTTGTCAATGTTGGACACTGAGCATTTCAGACCACATCCAGGAACTGCTTGGAAGTTACTACACTGGCCACTCACATCTGTCCCTATTGTCTCTTTTACATACTTCACAATTGCTGCAATGTAACACACACAAACATATATTTACAGATACAATATAAGGCAAACAATGTATGTGTTTCCTACATGTTCAATAAGTCGTGATATTCTGTTCCAATTGTGTTCAAATGAATCATAAGAGTACTTCTATAGAACCAACACGAGGTTTGTGATGACATTAGGTCTGTATTCTTTCAATAAAATTATAAATTTTCATGAAATTTAGAGATAATATATCACAATAGACAACCCCATATTTGTATTTCATTTTTTTTACCATCACCAAAACAAACATTGAGACAAGTATCAAAGACCACTGGATGAGGATATACCACCACAGTCAATAAGTTCGTGGAACGGCCATAAAGCGTCATTGCAGTGCACTACAGCGGATAGGTTGAGGCACGATATGATGCCCTGTTGGTTCATATCTCGTCACAGCAAGAGGCAGTTGTGTGCAAACAGTGTAAGTAGAACTACGACAATATATGATATAAACTCTGTCCTAAGTGCAACAATATATTGTAGGTCTTTCATCTTGCTTTCTTCTACACTACATGTTTCGGCCGCAAACGGCCATCATCAGGTGTTTCAGGTCTTCCTGTATGTTTTTAATTTTAAACTGGGTGCAGTGTAACAGCTACGTGAGTGTATACACCTGATGATGGCCGTTTGCAGCCGAAACATGTAGTGTAGAAGAAAGCAAGAGGAAAGACCTACAATATATTGTTGCACTTGGGACGGTGTTTATGTCATACATCGTATAGAGTGCAATAGGATGCTTAAATATAATATTGTAGAACTATGACCTCTATTGTGAACTGCAGTTAAATCAGTGACGTGCCGTGCAGGGAAGCAAGGGAAGTATTGCTTCCGTAGTTAAGAAACGAAAAGAAAAGAAGTCATATATAAACAATTCAATTTTAAAAATAAGGATGTGAATATTGTCATTCAGCATGTTCCTGCTCAAGGCCATATGCCTCCTCCTCCTCCCTAACCCTGCTTGGTGGGACGGACCAAGTTTCCCTTCATTAATCTTTGCACGAATTCGTCTTATCCAAAGTGACCAAGGGAAGCAAATTTTGGTTTTCTGGCTAGGTCACCGAAGGAATGTGTTCTTTATATGGTTATGTGAAAATTAACTGCTTATGTCTGATTTCAGTCTTGTTGGGTGTTATAGGTAACATTAAGTGTTATTAAAATATTCTAAGTGCATATTTATATGGCGTAAGATTGTATTTGTGATCATATTTTGACACATCAGAAAGAAGTTATCCGCGTTTAAGGGAAGCAAGTGTGATATTGTGGTACAAGTGGCAGGGGAGTGATTAGACTACACGCACAGGGAACAGCTAAAATGAAAGCTCGCAGACAACATGACTGTGACTGTGCAATCGAAAAACTTTTAAAATGGGGGTTTAATAGCAGGGACTTTTCTGAAAAAAAAACAATTATAGAAAGAGGACGACCAACATGCGAGTTGCCAGAACTTAAACCACAAACCAAATTATGTGTGAGGAAATTTAATTTGGAACAGTATTCTAAAACAGAGTGGCTATCTGGGTGCCGTAATATAGCAAAATTGTTTTGTGGGCCATGCTTATTGTTTCTCAATGAAAAAATGTATGGAACAAGACTGGGTTTGGTGATATCAACAACCTTCATAAAGCACTGAAATGACATGAGAACTATCAGACTAATATTATTTCAACAATGCAACTTATGTTCGGGAAATCTCAAACTGACTGTCAACTTAACAATCAAAAGCGCCTACAGCAGAATGAAAATGTGAAAGAAAATAGAAAAATAATGAAACACTTGATTGATATCATCTGCCATTTAGGAAAGTGGCAACTTGCCCTCTGTGGTCATGGCAAAAGCATGGATTCTATCAACCGAGGTAATTATGTGGAATTAGTTCACTTGTTGAGGAAATATGATCGTAAACTCAATGTTCACCTTAAGAACAGTACAGTATTTACAGGTTTATCGAACAGAATACAAAACGACCTTATTGACTCAATAAGTGACGTAAATTTTGGTGAGTTGATTGCTGTCAGTTTGTTTATTAGATACCACTGCTTCCATTACCAAAAATAGTACTGCATGCCACTGAGTCAAATGCAAGTGGCAGAAATCGAAAATGTGGCAGTTTGAACAACAGGCCAACATCAAGTTCTGCCAAAAACTAGGCAAATCCCCTAGCAAAACATTGGCATAGGAAGAATTGGCTGTTGCTACATGACAATGCCCCTGCACATCGCTTTGTTCTTGTCCAAGAGGAACTGACAAGGCAACAGTTCACCGTTTTGCCATATCCTCCGTACTCACCTGATCTCGCACCATGCGATTTCTTTCTCTTTCACCGATTGAAAGCAAAGCTACGTGGTCGTAAATTTCAGTCATCCGAGGAGGTGGTCATTGCCACAAGAGACACTGTACAGGAATTTCCTGCCAACATGTTTCAGCAATGTTTTCGGCTGCTATATCAACGTTGGCAGACTTGCATAGCATTAAGTTCCATGAACTTAATGACTCTACCGCACGCACGCACGCACGCATATATATATATACACACACACACACACACACAAGGTGGTTCAAATATGACCGGGACTGATTTGTGTGTAAACAAGCTGCACTGCACAGCAGCTGTGCGACCTTGAGAGAGTGAAGCCACAACCTCCACCCTCCCTCCTGTTTGGGTTAGAACCTGTTCAATCCTGTCTGGGAGTTGCTAGAGTGATGAGCGAATAGAAGGTACTGCGGAGCATGGAACAATGCATTGTGATCAAATTCCTCATTGGAGAAAATGTCCCGTCCACTGAAATTCACCACAGACTCCAACAACAGTATGGGGAAGAGTGTCTCTTGTGGACCCGTGTGTTTGAGTGGTGTAAGTGCTTCAGAGAGGGCAGAGAGCACGTGGAGAATGAACTGCATGATCGTCGGCTGCGAACATCCATCACGGAGCCAAACATTGATCTTGCAGACGCATTTATTCATGAGAATAGGCTCATCATTATCAAGGAACTTGGAGCAATGCTGTCCATCAGTGTTGGTAGTGCAGAAGACATCGTGAAATATCACCTCCACTATTGCAAGGTGAATGCATGGTGGGTACCATGAAATTTGACAGACGTGAACAAATTGGTGCGCATGCAAGCTGCCAGTCGTCTCCTACAGCAGTTTGAAGATAAAGGTGATGCATTTTTGAAGTCTATAGTGACCACCGATGAAACATGGGTGCACTACTTGATTCCCAAGTCCCAGCAGTCATCATGCGAGTGGTGGCATACCAGTTCTCCCAAACCCAAGAGAGCGTGGAGGAGCCGTTCGGCATGAAAAGTGATGGCAACGTTCTTCTGGGACTGGCAGGGGGTTATCCATTTAGACTTTCTGACAGATGCCAGAACAGTCAATGCAGCTTATTACTCAGACCTCCTGGCAACAGACGTGAAGGAAAAGATCCAATCCAAGCGGAAGAGAGGTGGAAAGCGGGTAGCCTTCCTTCAAGACAATGCATGCCCCCATACAGCCAAAACAATAATAAAAACCCTCCGGAAACTGAAATGGAACCTACTGACATATCTGCTGTACAGTCCTGATTTGGCCCCAAGTGATTTCTACCTGTTCGGAAGGCTCAAATCAGACTTGCAAGGCATGCGGTTTGTGGACGACGCCGTCATCCAGACTGTTCGGGAGTGGATACGCCACCAATCACAAGCCTTTTTGACAAGGGCATCAGGATGCTTCTAGAACGTTGGAAAAAATGTGTTGACTCCAGAGGGGAGTACGTTGAAGACTTACACATGCAAGTAAGTGTTTAGCAATTATGGTTTAAAAAAAAATCAGTCCCGGTCATATTTGAACCACCATGTACCATGTGTGTATATATACACACATGTGCGTGATTACTCCGAAATTACCAAAGGACATAGCTGTAGATTAATTTTGTCTCAAATATTGACTTACATTGGCCACAGTATTACAACAGGTTATGATGGAGAATACCTTTGCTAGTATTGTTGGCTCGTATATGCCATTCTTTACTGCATCAAACATATAATGTGAAGCTGTTTAGTGAAGACATGTACAATATGCTTGTGATAAGTTTTGAAATAAGCAATTCAAGAGAAGAAAGAGTTTGCACCAAGTTTAATTTGAAGCTTATAAAACCACTTCTGAAATATCTGATACATTACGAACAGCTTTAGAAAAGATGCTTTATCCAAAGCAAAAATGTACAACAGGTCTCCAGGACTCACAGATAAACATACCTCTGTGAAACATGAAGAAAACTGCACACATCTATCAATAATCACAATGGACAGTAATGTTGACAATGATGAAGGTTGCAAAACACACAGTGCAAACCACGTGACTGTTAAAAAGCTCTCTCTGTAACAGACCATGAAGGCCCACTGGGCTGTGAGATGTTGAGGCTCCCACATTTTCTCTAGACAGTCGGCTCATAGATGGCGGTAAGGTTGTCAGCCTTATGCACTGGCTGCCCTTTACCCACCAGGAAGATTCCTGGTACTCATTTGTGTCAGAGGCCGAGTACCCCACAGGGCCATAGGATTAGGTAAATTGAAAAAATATACCTCATTGGGACTCAAACCCATGACCTTTTGGCTTGCAGCAGTGCCTCAACCAACTATGCTACCGTCTGCCCCACAATGTGACTGTTATTATTGCAAATGTACAGTACGAAATGACATTAATAATTAGTAATTTCAAGTGCTGTGTGTGTCAAACATGACAATTAAGGAGCAATATAAAATAGGAAATGTGCTGATAAATTACCCACTATGGTGTAGAATTCTCCAGCAGCCAACATACTTTCCTGTGGCAAAGAATACATACGAAACAACAGAAGAATGGTGTTTTTTATGTGGTTCATGCTGAGAACTTATAACCAGGACAGTTAGAGCAATGAGTTCAGTTGAGTTCTTAAAAGAAGGCTGAGAAGAGATGGCTCTATCATTGAGCTGACAGATCAGTTGTGCGGTATTTGCTGGACAGTAACAACGTGAGCACAGAAGCTGAAGAATCACCATTGTTGAGAGCTGTTGCCAAGCAACAACTTCTGAAGACACTGCACACTGACGAAGACTCAGTGTATAGTAATTTGTAAAATGTGGGGAACCGTAATAGCATTCAAGTGCTTGTAGCTCTGAGGCATGTGTATAAGTGGTCAATAAATCCATTCACCAATCCAATCCCTGTCTATACTCACACACATACATGTCACAGTATTTTGGCATATTTACTCAACGCAAGAAACAGAGACACAGCCGTTGCTAGCGAATTGCTCTGAAACAACATTCATTTCTAGGTAATGGCTTGGTAAACATGTTCCTGTGGCAATGGATATGTGTGTAACAATAGAGGTACGGCTGGAAACGGTGTTTTCTACATGGTCTGTGCTGAGATGTTATAAGCAAGGGACAAGGTTAGAGCTTAATCAGTTAGACAGTGAAGAGAAGACTTAGTTGGAGTTATAAGAGTGTTCAGTTGATAGGCAGTGAAGAAAAGGCTAGGAGGATGGTGTGAAATGGCTGTGAGTACATTGTAAAGAAGGCAGGCAGTTGAAAGACAGCCACTGTTCAGAGATGACTTGAGCCCAGAATCTGAGGAAAAGCCATTGTTAGAAGCCATTATAAGGCAACTACTAGTGAAGACACTGCAAGCTGGAAGGCTCAGTGTGTGTGTTAAGTGTGTGGAAATTAGCGATGGTGCTATAATTAAGTGGAATTACAAGTTGTGTGTTAAGGTGCTCAATAAATCGAGTCATCAATCCAAACTCCATATATAGTCACTCCTACATGTGAAAATATATTACATAAAACTTACCTGATGCAATGGGGTGTTCACTGTTCACTTCTGCAGTACCAACAATAGCTAGGAGTTTTGCTAAAGAACATAGTTTCTCGTTTACAAAGATGCTGATTCGAGACACCATTGGAACCCCATGTGTGATTGTACCTGTCTTATCAAACACGATGGCCTTCACCTACAAATGAAGGAGATACAGACTCAGCAAGGTTTACAATTTGGATAAAACAATATGACCAGCAAAGGCAATTTTTAAAAACAGCGAAAAGAGTTATTGACTTGGTCTCATGAAACTGTCTTATAGTCTGTATGCTCTATCATAAGACAACAGATGTATGTTTACATATGTGATACTTATAACTGTATTCATATTGTATTTCAGTCTTCTGAGATAAAAAAATGTCTTACATTTAAATAAGAAAAAAGCTTCAGCTAATTTTGAGCCATAAAATAAAACAAGACTGGAAATGGTGTACTCTACAATGTAACATACAGAATTAGGGCTGCACCGCAGCTCAAGCGGTTAGTCACTGGCTTCCCACTGCGGCGACCCAGGTTCGATCCCGGGTCTGGGCAAGTGGGATTTGTGGTGGACAAAGTGGCGCTGGGGCAGGTTTTCTCTGAGTACTTCAGTTTCCCCTGCCAATCTNAAGGACCCTGAGAGCTATACCAGCGGTAGCGTAGCTACTGGCAGGGCCTCCCTTGCTGGACAGGTCAAAGGGTAGGCATCAGACGAAGAGAGACACCAAAAACCAAAAACTGATGCCGGAAGCAGCGTCATCAGCAGCGACTTGAAGCACAGAACAAATGATGCTCGAGATGGTTCAAGTTCGTATAGCAACAGGCGTGACCAGAGTGGTTTGAACGGCTGTTGTACTGCGATGTGGAAAGCAAATGGAAAAACTACCACATTATCACATTTCCTGGACAGTCTCTTTCCAAAAACAGAAGATCACATTAAGTGGAGGAACTGTTTTGGAAGAGACTGTGGACCTGTCATCTGACAGTTACTGATCAATCAATCATACAGAATTACCAACGGTATTCTTTCAAGCTGAAAGCTTAAAAATTACCTAAAAATAGGTATAATGATAAGTAAATTAGTGAAAGATGTCATATTTAACAAATAAAAAGGAAAAGTCCATTCATTGCCTTCTGGAAATTAGGCTTTGTTATGGATCAGTAATGCCATAAACTGGAATTACATGTTTTGTTGGAAGTCATCCATACTAAATTTCATAAAATATGTGAGACATTATATGGGATATATGGAGAACTTCATTTGTGACCTTATGTAAACTAGGTTTTATTATGGTTCAATATGGCTGAAAACTGGAGTTCCCAGACAACTTACGCTGGAAGTGATTCATACCAAATTTAAACAAAATCTGCAGTGTAGTTAATCGAATAAATAAAAGTCCATTTCTGGCCTCATGTAAATTAATGTTTATTATGGATCAGTATGGTTGGAAACTGGAACTGTCAAATAACGTTTCATAATAGTCTCCCATATTGCATAGTAAGGACATCTGTCCTGTAGTTTTGACACTGAAACTAGGCAACACACAGATGGACAGACATGACCTCCATATGACGGAGCTCTTCATAACCAGTTGTGTAAGAACCTTAAATTCTACATTCAACGTATGTAAACAATATATGCAGACCTTATGTGCATTTTCCAAAGGCTCTGCTCCTTTGATTAGTATTCCATTGAGAGCACCCACACCAGTTCCCACCATGACAGCAGTAGGAGTTGCCAGCCCCAAAGCACATGGACAGGCTATAGCAAGGACACTCAGCGCACATCTGAATGCATATTGGAAGATAATCTCTTCTCGGTTGAATCCAGTCTTCTCATCCTCCTGTCAAAATTGTATGTTCAGTGTCATAAACTCTATGAAAATATGGCCATGTGAACAGTTCACAAACTTACTGTGTGGTTTCAGTCTCAAATCTGAGAAAATGATGCTGTAATGTTCCACAAATTCACATTAACATGAGGGAGAGTCAGTAAATAGGTCACAAATGGTAGTAGAACAGCTGTAATGGATGTAATAGGTTTTCTATGAGTCTTGCTAGGTAGCAGCACAGTCCAGCTTCATGCCAGTCTAGGTAGCAGACGCGCATGAGCATGTTCGGAGGCTGATTTCAGTAGCCAAAATGGCAACCGTGATTGTGGGTATACTGCTGAAGAGCTGTGTTCTGTTGTGTGTTTTTTGTGGGCAAAAAGACTCATGCATAGGATATTCATAAAATATGGTTCATTTATGGTGGGAAGTGTTTGATGCTTAAAGCAGTTCACAGCTGGGTCAAGATATTCTCTCAAGGACATTTGAAAGTTGCAGATGGTGCCTGACCAGGTTGCCCTTTTGAGATTGAGACAGAAGAAACTGTGCAGCAGGTGGAAGAGATGAGTTGATTTGAGAAACAAATGTTTTTTCAAGGTTTGAATATCACATGGGTTATGTTCTATATCCACTTGTGACCTATTTACTGATTCTCCCTCATATACGACATTACATATATACATTTTTTTTTATATTTAATTCTATAAGTTTATAAATTGTTACTGATAAAATTAAAAGTTTGCCCTGATTGGTATTATCTCACTCTCTTGTAGAAGTTAATACAACTTCCAAATACAACTAAAGATCAAAATATTATCAAGACTACAGTCTTCTGGGATGTGATGCTGCATAGTTTGGTAGGTAAGTACCAATATTTGGAAAAACCTGCTGCCTCCATCTTCAGGGTAGAAGATAAAGGCAGAAGGTTTTGCCAAAACGTTGGTCCTATCCATCAACTACCCAGGATCACATCCCAGATGACCATAATCTCAGTATTCAGTCATCAGACACTCAAATCTCACAAAATATTACATTTCTACCACACTGATTGAAAGCATTTTAAAATGAAGAGCTGAGGTTGCTTTTGTGCCTAAGAGAAGGAGGTTCTAACAGCCTGGGCATCAACACAAATTGGGAAGGCATGGTATTTATAAAACTTTGGTAGAAGAGACAAAAGAGCTGTCACCCAGGAGACAGAATTATATTACATGATTATATTACGTATAACTGGGTTTAGAAATATAGGTTATTATTGCATGAACTGGACTGTAATAGCTCAAAAAGCTCAATGGTCAATGTTTGTGATAATAAGATGAGCCTTTAGAACTGGTAAAGACATGGAATTCTTTGAACAGCTGAATAACTATTAACCCTTCATGGTGGAGATGGTTACAATGGAATCCTCAAATAACATTTAATTAATATGATCTTAGCATAGGTACCTGAATATTAACTCCATTTAAATTCAGAATACAAGGTGGTTCAATTATGACCGGGACTGATTTTTTTGTAAACAAGCCGCACTGTGCAGCAGCTGTGCGACCTTGAGAGAGTGAAGCCACAACCACCCTCCCTCCTGTTCGGATTAGAACCTGTTCAGTCCTGTCTGGAAGTTGCTAGAGTGATGAGAGAACAGAAGGTACTGTGGAGTGTGGAACAACGCATTGTGATCAAATTCCTCGTTGGAGAAAACGTCCCGTCCACTGAAATTCACCACAGACTCCAACAACAGTATGGGGAAGAGTGCCTCTCATGGACCCATGTGTTTGAGTGGTGTAAGTGCTTCAGAGAGGGCAGAGAGTACGTGGAGAATGAACCGCATGATCGTCGGCCGCAAAAATCCGTCACCGAGCCGAACATTGATCGTGCAGACTTGCTTATTCGTGAGAATAGATCCGATCCAAGCGGAAGACAGATGGAAAGCAGGTAGCCTTCCTTCAAGATGATGCACCCCTCCATACGGCCAAAAGAACAATGGAAACCCTTCAGAAATTGAAATGGAACCTTTTGACACATCCGCCGTATAGTCCCAATTTGGCCCCAAGTGATTTCTACCTGTTCGGAAGGCTCAAATCAGACTTGCAAGGCATGTGGTTTGTGGACAACGACGCTGTCATCCAGACTGTTTGGGAGTGGATACGCCGCCAACCACAAGTTTTTTTTGGGGGGCATCAGGATGCTTCCAGAAAGTTGGAAAAAATGCGTTTAATCCGGAGGGGAGTACGTTGAAGACTGACATGTGCAACTAAGTGTTTGGCAATTATGTTTTCTTTTTTAAAAATCAGTCCTGGTCATATTTGAACCACCTAGTACTAATCCACTGCCACCAGAAGAACATTAAAAGGACACTTCAAATTAAACACATACCGTGATTGGCAGGTGTGACAAATCCACATATCCACTAATAGTCCAGCCAATAAGGGTGACACTTGAAACAAAGATGACAAAGGGAACAAAGTAACCAGCAATCTTATCAGCAAGCTGTTGAATAGGGGCTTTGGAAGTCTGAGCCTCTTCAACAAGTCGAACTATCTGCGCTAGTGTCGTAGCTTCACCTGTGTGAGTTGCTGTCATCAACAGCAGACCATTCTGATTGATGGATCCACCAATCACAACTGAACCTAACAACAAATTAAGAACAGTAAACAGATTTTGTGCAGCATTAGATCAGAAGTGGATTTGGTTTCCACCTGTTAGATCAAACTATACTGAATAGCTACACTGTTTTCTCATCCTGTGGTTGGAAAACAGGCCATCACAAATTCTGACTTTGGTTAAACATTTGATGGAAATGAGTACAATCAACCCCATGAGGAAGACCAACCCTACAAGTCAGTCTGATTCACCTTGAAGCTTGACACACTGATCGCTGGCCAGATACATGAACATGCTTGCAGTGTTGTACGTGCTCTTCCATGAAGAAAGAAAGAATTAAGAAATTTCTGTGCTCAAAAACATTCAGTCTGCTTACAGACAAATGTTCTGTATTTACCAGCCAAAGATGAATCTGTAAGTCAGAGTTATGTTAAAAAGCGAGAAGGAAAACATTTCCAGAAATGTAATATACGTAGCTGATTCCAAAAGTAAGGTCTCCAAAGTGCTGGGTAATTTTTCGTGCGGCTGTTGGCAACCCTGTTGCATTCGTTNATTACTAAAACCGCGAAGTGTGAGATTCGCGCAGTTATTCGGTTTTTGAACGCAAAAGGGACTAAACCAATTGAAATTCATCGTCAATTGGTGGAAGTGTATGGCGAGTCGTGCATGGACATAAAGAACGTCCGCAAGTGGTGTAGGGAGTTTGAATCTGGTCGTACTGCAATACACGACGAAAAAAGAACTGGGAGACCGTCAATTTCTGACGAGACAGTCGCAAAGATTGAGCGAGTCATGCGTCAGGATAGGCGCATCACACTCGATGATCTCTGCATTTCGGTTCCCGAGGTTTCCCGAACCACCATTTATCGGGTTTTGACAGAGAAGTTGAATTATCGGAAGGTGCGCGCAAGATGGGTCCCGCGAATGCTCACAGAAGACCACAAACGGCAGAGAGTTGACTCTTCCCATGAATTTCTTCGCCGCTACGCTGACGAAAAGGACAACTTCTTGAATTCAATTGTCACAGGTGACGAAACCTGGGCGTACCACTTCACACCTGAGATAAAACAACAATCACGTCAGTGGCGGCATTCCTCTTCACCTAAGCCTCGAAAATTCAAGCAAACACAGTCTGCCGGAAAAGTCATGGCAACTGTGTTTTGGGATCGAAATGGAGTATTGTTGGTTGACTTTATGGAAACTGGGACCACAATAAACGCTGAGAGATATTGTGAGACACTGAGAAAACTCAGGCGGGCAATTCAGAACCGGAGAAGAGGGATGTTGAGCAAGGGCGTAAGCATTCTCCACGATAATGCTCGCCCCCATGCTGCCCGACAAACCGTCGCTCAACTGCAACAGTTTGGATGGAACATCATCACCCATCCACGCTATAGTCTGGACTTGGCGCCCAGTGACTACCATCTCTTTCCAAAGTTGAAAGAACATTTGTCTGGAAAGCGCTTCAACAACGACGATGAGGTGAAAGCTGAGGTTCGAAGTTTCCTGAACAGCATGGAGGTGAACTGGTATGACATGGGCATACAAAAACTGCCACTGCACCTACAAAAATGCATCGACCGAAATGGCGATTATGTAGAGAAATGAGTACATGTTCAAGATTCATCTGATGTATCCAAAATTGAAAATAAAGGTTTATTTTATATTTTCAAACATAGGAGACCTTACGTTTGGAATTACCCTCGTATATATAATTTAATTTCAATAATTTATATGCTTTCTTGGAAACAACAATTAATCCAGTCAAAATGCAATGACCAGCCTATGCCCAAAAGATAAAGATGTTCCTCTGATACGTTTTTCAAGTTTGTGAATATTCTATTATATGACACACACAGATGGTTGGCAGTTACCTTTCTTCTTAGCAACAGGCATAGATTCCCCTGTTATCAGTGACTCGTCACACATAGAATGTCCAAATATGACCTTTCCATCAACAGGAACCTTTGCTCCAGGAACCACCTGCCAACAGACAAAATACTGTTGCTGTTTCCCAAGCCTGAAGGTACTTGCTAAAACTCTACCAGCCTTTTAGAGATTTGCAATCCATTTTATATTGACAAAGAGCATTCTGCTAGCAAATTCTCTTACCTCTAAACAAGACTCTATCTGTGAATGATGCCTTCCTGAGTGGATAGACACTTTAACATTGGCTCCAAGCCACAACAGGCCCTTGCACTCCACATATTCGCAGCCTTATCTTTCTGGCCACCACAGAAGCTCGAAGTGGGAGAGGATGAGAGGACGAAACCACTTGGAAGACATAGGCATACAGAGGATGATAACATTAAATGGATGTTAAAAGAATAGTGTGGGAGGGTGTGGATTGGATTCATCTGACTCAGCTCATTCAGTATAAGGAACAGTGGCAAGTTCTTGTGAACATGAGTAATTAAAAATTGTATTCTATAAAAGATGGGGAATTTGTTCACTAGCTCAGTGTTCCGCAACCGGTGTGCCATCACAAGGTGAAAGGTGTGACGCGAACTTTTACCTATTGTAAGAAATTAATTGTTGAATTTTATTCGTTTTATTTTATCCCAGTTACAAAGTTAATAGAAAGTCCGTCGAGTGTAACAATTTGTAGGTCACTTCTTTGTCACTTCTGCCTTACATGTTTCGGTTTGACACAACCATCATCAGAGGCACTTACTACAATTATGAAAACACTGTCGTTGTTTATGATGTTCACAGTTATGTTTGTTGTGTGGACGCTGCTACAATATGTTGACGTGTAAAAGCACAACACTTGCTAGGATAGTTGAGTACACTATCAAATTCACACTTTCCAGCCAAAACNAAATATTTTAACATTAGCGTTTTAACTTAAAAACAGTTTTCGCTGGAAAGTGTGAATTTGATAGTGTACTCAACTATCCTAGCAAGTGTTGTGCTTTTACACGTCAACATATTGTAGCAGCGTCCACACAACAAACATAACTGTGAACATCATAAACAACGACAGTGTTTTCATAATTGTAGTAAGTGCCTCTGATGATGGTTGTGTCAAACCGAAACATGTAAGGCAGAAGTGACAAAGAAGTGACCTACAAATTGTTACACTCGACGGACTTTCTATTAACTTTGTGATTGATAGTGTAACGGACCAAAATGAAACAATTCAAAATTATCCCAGTTACATTGTTTCATATGCTTCTATTTTATCCTCAGCCACTGCACTGATTAAATAAGATAATGCTTTCATTTTTTTTGCATCTATGCAGCTTCTCTGATATGCTTGCTGCATGTTCTGTGTACGTGCTTTTCCCTAAAACTGCAGCGATTAGCATGGGGTTTCCTGTCTTTTATAACACTGTTTTGGTATTTGCCCCTGTTTGTTAGAAGTTAGAGCTTCTTCAACTTTATGACTTTCTTCCTGTAATGATGCACCCATCGATTGTTGGACATCATTTAAAATTATAAATATTTAAAAATAAGTCGGTATAGTGTCACTTCTTCTGCTTGAACAGTAGAGATTCTGCATTTTACAGTTGTTTCAGTTCTATCACAGCTGTGCTCTGAAGTAGTTCACAAATTTTGGTTGCTAGTTAGAGAATTACAGATGGGTCATTTGAGATGTCCCCGGCTGTATGGCCACTTGCTGATGGCAATAAAGTGGTGATGGACACAATTAAAGAACATTTAGAAATGCTGCAGCAGAACTTCAATACGTATTTTGTAGAGAGTGTGCAAGATTTTGACTGGGCTCGTGATCCATTTGTTGTGAATTCAGAATATCTTCCGATTAATATATAAGAGGAACTCGCAGATTTAAAAGCAGACAGAACATTGAAACTAAAACTTCTCGAAGTGTCTTAGGATATGTTTTGGTTGGCAATAAGGAGTGGATACCCCGCTATCTCCAAGATGGCAGTTAATGTGTTATTGCTATTTTCAACTACATATTTGTGTGAACTGGGCTTCTCGACGCTGACTGAAATTAAGACATCAAAGAGGGAGCAGCTCAAATCCATCGATGAAGAAATGAGACTTGCGTTGTCAATGATTCCACCACGGATCAGTCGCCTGTGTGCAGCTACGCAGGCGCAGGTATCACATTGAGGGTATGAGTAGAATTACTGTATTTACTTTAATAGTAATAGAAGTGTATTTTCTACACTCTACAGTGAATTAAAGTTTATTAATTGTTAATAAATGCATGAGTCGATTTCTGTTTAATGCTAATAAAATAACAATAATATTATAGTAATAAGTTGATCATGTTACGCATTTATATTAATTGTCTGATATCATGCGTTTTTGAGGGGAATAACATTTTGGTGTGCCATGTTGAGTCATGGATACTTCATGGTGTGCTGCGAGTAGAAAAAGGTTGCGGAACACTGCACTAGCTTAGTGACCATTAGTTTCTTAACTAGAGCTCTGCTCTGAGGATATCCATAGTCAGTTATGGCATCTGTCATATACTGTTATCAGACATAAGGACTGTTCTTTTCATTGCTATGTTTTGTTGCCTTTTGGGCATGTTTGCAATCCTGCAGTGTATATGAAGTTCAATTGGTCTGTCCATCTATACATCTGAAACAACTCCACACTTACCGAAAAGATTTTCATGAAATTTCATAGTATAAAATACATGTAAAGCTGTCAGACCACTTCCACTTTCATTCGACAACTGTAACAACCACTCTGCATGAAGACCTACATACAGTCAACTCTCGATTATCCTGGATAATGGTGGGGATGGATATTACAATTAATCGAAAACCCGGTTAAGACAAATTTTATTAAAAGTAGTACTGTAATACTGTACCTTCATAATACTATACGCCTACCTGTATTTAAATTTATTCAACCTCATTTTTATGTCATCTCATGGCCTATTTAATACTTTTTTTACATTACACTGAGATATGAATTTGTTATTTCAATCACAGTCTTCAACAACATCCAACATTTTTTACGAATATTCACACTTAACACTTAAAAAAAATTTAATATTGTCGTTTACTTTTTCGCGGCATTTTCCTTTTTCTGTTGAATACTTAACACAACACACTTCCTTTTACACCCTGACATTTTGCTAACGCACTTGAAGATCGATATAAAGATACTAACTGGGGCGATGTATCTGTCCTTGAAGCTTTCCACAAATCCTTGCATTCTTTCACCCCTACCCTAGAACATTGTGTTAGCATAACGGGACCAAAGAATGCAGAGCTCAGTTCACACTAGTGCAAAAATAGTGTTACAACTCGCCACATGAAACAAAAGTGAATGAATATTAAACAATATATAAGCCTCAAAAAAGCCTCAGTAGCACCGGTTATGCCGCAAACCGGTTAATCCGCCCCTGGATAATCGAGAGTTGACTGTATATACATTTTTGTATATACCTCAAACATAACTTGCTAAATAAGTTTTGGAGTGAAAAATGTTTCAAACAATAGTTTTAGAGAAAAATGAAAGACATTTTATGTTTGCAGATATTTTGCAAGTCTTACAGTTTTTTAAATAATTAAACAGACCAGACACTATCTACACATTTCAGAATTTCTATATTCCAAAAATATCTTAGATAATTGTCAGATATTTCCCCTTTCACTAGCACAGATAATCAGGAATATACTGGATCTGATGATAATGTTCTCTGAAAATGGTTCATCATAACTGTATCGCTTCTGAATCTAAACTTGACCTAAGCTTCAATTTCGATTATAGGTTGCCTGTATCATACCTTTAGAAAGTCTCCTCGTTGCACAAGATCCACACTGATATGTTTCTCTGACTGCATTTCAAAATTAGGACCAATGGTGACCAAAACAGCTTCAGTCGCTTTCAGAGAAAGCAGCTTTGACAGTGCTTCTGATGTTTTGCCCTGTGAACCAACAAGAATGGTGAGTTTTCATCAAGTTCACTTTTTTTGCTGTTTTAAGTTCAGTAAGATAACCCTTTCATCAGTTTTTGTGAATACACTCAAATATCCATTTAACAATGCTTTGATTTAAATTTTCCTGTCACTCAGAGTTCTGATGTTCCTTGGCAAAAGTTCACTGGCCCTGCATTTTATGTATGTCAAACTGGAATGAACATTTACACAGAACAACAAATAATTAAAAAAAGACTGGAATGTTCTCCAAAACCAAAATCTGTCCATCAACCCATCCACAATCGAGGGAAGTTTCTTTCACTGGAGTAAAACGAGAAAAAGGAATTTTAGTGCTATGCTGTGAATCAGAGTGCAAAACTAGCAACCATATGTGAAATGATAAAATACATTTGTACTTGTGTATGTATGTACGTTCATAAATTTATGGTGTGTTTATACTGACATGTAGATCCATGGCTACGTAACGGGCCAATAAACATGCATTCTTGACAACATAAGAGGTGAAGAAAGTCGTCTTCTGGGTTTAGGTGCCGTGTAATCTTCGTTTTGGCGATACATCCCTCCGAAATGTCGGCTAAAACGAAGAATACACGGCGCCTAAACCCAGAAGACGACTTTCTTCATAGTCATCGCCGTGAAAACCTCAAAAATTAAAAATAAGAGGTTTTTTCACATTTGCACATATCCAATGCTAGGTAACAGGCCAATAGACACTCATTCTTGACAAGAGATGTGTTTTCTGTGGGTTCATCTCCAGACTATATAAGTGGTAGAGAACCAATTCAAATCAGAGAGTGAGGGAGAATGAAAATGGAGCAAGTCTTAGGCAGACATTTATTATGAGCTATAATTGATTATGATTAAGAGAGATTGTACAAGAACGCGTCAACAAATACAATCACCCAATCCTGAACCCATTATTATTAAGTCACAGTGCCATAAACACGTGATAGTATTGTGATAGGATTTTAGCACTGTGATGCATGAAGATTTACAGCAACAAATGCCATGGGAACTAAAAGTGCAATAGAGCATTATGGAACCATATCAGAATATTGTTGGATCACATGGACTAGGAAGACGGAATCACAGGGGTCAAATGCTTATTGACTTTTGTGAAAGAAATGGACTGACTGTCACCAACACTTGGTTCAAGAAGCCAAAGAGAAGAATTTACACATGGAAGGTACCTGGGGATTGGAGGAGGCATCAGCTGGACTACATCCTTGTGAAACATCGATTCAGAAATAGTGTGAAGGATGTGAAGACGCTTCCTGGGGCAGATATTGACTCTGACCACAACTTACTGGTTGCCGTGTTCCGAACCAGGTTGAAGAAAATTATAAGATTTCGAAAGCGCAGACCCAGATGGGATTTGGAGAAGTTATATGCTCAAAGACAAAGCGTGCAAGAGACCCTAGAAGAGAAACTCGGTGCAACTGAAGGTGAAATCGGAAATGCTGAAGCGCAGTGGAACAATATAAAAGAATGCATGTTAGATACTATCAGTGATTTGGCTGGTAAAGTTGAGAAGATAGCAAGAAAACCATGGGTTACACAGGAGATGATGAGTAAAATGGAGGAGTGAAGGAAATGGAAGAATGTCAAAAATGAAGAAGGCAGGAGGAAATACAGGAGACTGAGGAATGAATTGAAAAGAGCCACGGACAGGGCCAAAAAGGAATATCTTGAGAAGATATGTAATGAGATTATGGAATTTCAAAGAACAGGCCGTTATGATTTGATGTACATGAAGACAAAAGAACTAGGATGGAAAGAGAATCATGGGATTCAAAATGTTGGCATCGAAGACTCCCAGGGGAATAGAATAGTAGATCAGAGGCAAGTGCTGAAAATTTGGGAAAATTATATTTCAGAACTATATGATCGACCTAATCGGCCAGAAACCTTAGAAGTTGAACCGGAAGAAGAAGTAGATACAGACGAGAAAGGACCATATATTTTACAAAGTGAGGTGGAAAAAGCTATCAAGGAAATGAGGAAGGGAAAGGCTACAGGAGATGATGATGTACCTGGAGATGTGCTCAAGTTACTGGGAGAAGGTGGTTTGAAAACACTGACAAAACTAATGAACACCATATATGAAAGTGGAGAGTGGCCCAAGGACTTTACAGAAGTTACAATGATTGCCTTAAAGAAAAAGACAAAAGCTACAAAATGCAGCGACCATCGCACAATAAGTCTTATTGCACATACAGCAAAGATAATAGCAAAGATACTTAAAAGAAGAATTGAAAGGAAAATAGAGGATGTACTTGGAGAAGATCAGTTTGGATTTAGAAGAGGAAAAGGAACCAGGGATGCAATTGGGATGATGAGAATTATAGCGGAACGAACTTTGGAGATAGATGAAGAACTGTGTGTTTGCTTCATAGACTGGCAGAAGGCATTTGACCGGGTAAACTGGACCAAATTAATGCAGATCCTGAAAGAAACAGGTATCGATTGGCATGAAAGAAGATTGATTAGCAAATTGTACATGGATCAGAAAGTTAGAGTACGACTGGACAGGGGGGAGACAGGAAGTGTGCAGATTGGAAGAGGAGTTCGACAAGGATGCTGTTTATCACCAATTCTGTTCAACTTGTACAGCGAATGCCTTACCAAGGAAGCTCTGGATGGGCTCGGTGACTTCAAAGTAGGAGGGCAAATTATTCAAACTGTGAAATATGCAGATGACCTTGTGTTAATGGCTAAGGAAGAAACTGTGCTACAGGGCATGATTGATAGACTAATTGAAATTGGAAGGTGCTATGGCATGGAAATGAATGTGGAGAAAACAAAAGTAATGAAAATTTCGAGACAACCAACCCCAGTCACAATAAAGATAGACCAAAAACAAGTGGAGAATGTGAAATGTTTTAAATATTTGGGTAGCTTGTTAACAGATGATGGAAGGTGTACTAGTGAAATTAAATCCAGGGTTGCCATGGCAAAAGCTGCATTTAGCAAGAAGAAGAATCTTTTTACCAGCAAATTGGACTTAAATTTGAGGAAGAAACTAGTGAAATGCTACATTTGGAGCATAGCTCTATATGGGGCTGAAACATGGACACATAGGGCAATGTTGGAGAAGGATGGAGAAGATCAGTTGGACCGATTATGTGAGAAATGAAGAAGTGTTAATTAGAGTCAGTGAGCAGAGGAATATCCTACACGAAATAAGAAAACGGAAGGCTAATTGGATTGGTCATGTTTTACGCAGAAACTGCCTTCTAAAAGAAGTTATCGAAGGAAAGATAGAGGGGCGGATAGAAGTGACAAGAAGACGAGGAAGAAGACGTAAGAAGATGCTGGATGACCTTGGGGACAGAAGAGGATACTATCATTTGAAGGAGAAAGCTCTAGATCGCATTAAGTGGAGGAATTGTTTTGGAAGAGACTGTGGACCTGTCGTCTGACAGATTACTGATGATGATGATGATGATGATGATGAGAGCATTATGTTCGGAGGATTGCTTCAAAGTTTCTCATGCCAAATGGAGGTAAATTAGTATTCTCATATAATTCTCCATTGAAACCTAGGAGCTATTACTTGGACAACAAAATACCTTTATGTATCATGTCCATAAACTTGTTGTACATTCATACTGTGATGTCAGTATCTGATATGTGCATCAAGATTTACAGCAACAAATTCTGAGAATAATACAAACGTGTTTCTTATTTTGATATCTGCATATTCACTATATATTCGTAGACAAGTCCTGGCTAAAAATGTAGCATTTATATCTAAAAATACAAAGAAAAAGTTATCGTCCTGAAATTTAAATACACATGTGGCTATTTAACCCTCTGGTACACAGCTGCAGGACATTCATATACCCACTGGGATCAATGTACCTTCGGTCAACTTTCAATATATTGTCACATGTTTGAGTTACTATAGATGGGGTTCAGACTGCTAATCAGGTTTGTTGGACACTTTAACACACAACTCGTGGCTATACTTTAGAAATCACTGTCACACGCAGACTAGTGTTCTCAGTCACAGTCTTCACTGCACTGCCTGGTAGCATCTTCCAAAGTGGCTCCTGTCCTTGCTGGCTGGCACCTTTCAGGTGCAGCTCCCAACCTGAACTAAAAGGCTTCCAACTGACAAACTACCTCACAATGCACAATTGACTCCTTATGTAGCATTGGGATGGACCGCATATAAAACACCTCTCCCAACAGTTCTCCTATTGTTGCAGCACATCGCTATCAGCATGTACCATGTAGAAAAATCTACTTCCCAATTACTCCATTGTTGCATGTTACAAAGCTGTTGCCTAGCACTGGGGATGTTTGCAGAGCTCTTCCCTAGCAATGGCTGTCTCTGCTGGCTTCACAGTTCTGGCTTTCAGCGGACATGCCGCAGGATACATATATATATATATATATATATATGCTTTGTAAGTATGAGATTTATCAGTCATTATGCAATTTCACGTTATTGAAGCAATGGACTGTCTAGCATGAACACACCGAATGTAAGTTATTTAGTATGTGCTGAACAAATTAACAGTATTTTGTTTCAGTATACTGTGTCTATTTTGTAAGTATTAATAATGTTTTGATATACAGATATGTCAAACGTAGTATACAATATAAAAGAGATGGTTTACAAATTACTATTTGTGCATGTTATTGGTGGGGGATGCCATGAAACACGGGTAATGAGGCATCATTCTATAACATGTAGGAATGGAGAGGAATACTTACCTTGGCAACATGCTCTAACCAGCGACCAAGGGATATGAACACCAGCAACATGGGAGGTGTGTCGAAGAAAGTCTGTGGACTAGTATTCTGCTCCATGAACATTGCAGCTAAAAGAACACCCACTGAGTATATATATGAGATAGTTGTGGTCATAGAGATCAGCACATCCATGTTCGTTGTATGGTGACGTAAAGCTCGCCATGCTTGTATGTAGAAATGCCACCCACCAAAGAACTGTGAAAAATGAAGGATACAAATGTGTGCAAGATCACTGTCTTCAGGGATGTGACACCATGTTCTCTGGTAGACAGGTGCCAACATTTCAAAACAGTTTTTCTCCCAGACCACATGTGGTCACATCCCAGAGGAGAATAATCTTCATATTCATGGCCATGGGAAAGAAGAGTCTCAGAAGAATTGAAAGAATTGAAAGAATTGAAAAAACTATAATACAAATATTACAGTTTTCTGGGTTAACACCATGTAGTCTGGTAAAAATATGGCAGAAGTGCATGCATGTGAGAACACACATTATTTCCATCCAAGGACATATATAATGTTTTCAGAACTTTCTGTGCCTCAATTAATCCAGGTGACTAACTGCAATGAAGATATACCTAGTCTACAGAACATTATATTAACAAATATTATATAGAGTTACAAATTTTCACAATTGAAAGTATGAAGTGTACTGTCTTCCAAGATGTGACACCATATAGTTTGGTGTAGAAGAGAAAGTACCATTCTATCCTGAAGATGGAGGTGGCATGTTCCTCCAAAATGCTGATAAACTTCTACCAGATTACATGACATCAAACCCAAGCAGTGACTAATCTTTAAACACAACAGTAGATCAATTCTATCCATTCAATTTCAATGTTTTTCAATATTTATGATATACAGGAAAATGCAGTACCTGGACTGGAGTGGAGAAGATGAAGAGGATTAAATTCTCCCATGACAAACCAGGGACAACACAGCACATATCGGAATGCTTCACATGTCCCACAGACATCTGCATCATGAAGTACATCATGGCAAACATGCACGGGATGCCAAACATTAATGACACAAGGAATGCTGTTCGCCACTTCCTAATATCTTCTCTGTAATAACAATGATTTCTTGTCAATAGTGAAGTGCTAACTACATAAACATCAATAAATCAATGTCTGATCCTGAAAACACGACCCAAAGCATAACATGGCTGCACCAAAGGCTGCACCGAAGCTTATCTTTATCCAGCACAATCCAATCCACATGATTACAACTGCAGCCACACACAGACCTCTGTTCAGGCCTAGCTGAGTAGAAGTTAAGATTGTACAGGTAATTTCTACCTAGACAATTCACAGTTTAAAGTACCAGCAGCTTTGCAGCTTATTCTGAGGCCACTGAAGCAATGTCACATGAAAAATGAAAAATGAAAATTTATGGAACTAAAAACTCTAGATTTTGATACTGAAATATTTAAACTCACTTCTAGTCCTTTCAATGACATTACCCAAAGACCATATAAGTGTCAAAAACACAGGATTCAAATCATTACAAGTATTCAGACTGAATCTGAAAAACTACAATTCTGTGTTTATAGAGAAGGAACGTTATTAACTTCACTCCTTGCACTACTGTTGCTGGCCTATATACCAGCTCAACCATTCTCTCAGCAGACTAGTGTTCTGCAGTATTTCACCATAAAGAAATGAAAAGCAAACAATTCACCATGTTTAAGGAAAAAATATGTCTTCAAAAAGTGCATTATGAAATAAAAATATTTTGTCTTGTCAGAGCATATCTGATACTGGTCAGATAAGGTAGTCTGGATAAAGCACCAGTAAAAATCAGACTCAAGTACTGGAGCACCTGTATTAATTCTCTTTCAAAACTGTCTTCCTAATGCATACACACTCACTTCACTCTTCTTGCCAGAGCTGAAAACACATTTAAAACTTCATTTTGGTAACTGCCTACAACTGCTCCATTGCATCGTGTTCAACTGTTTCCATTTTCACTATTATTTTCGCCTCAAGGTTCTTCAAAATTTGAGAAAGAGGCTGTCTCATTTGTGAAATACTGTGCTTAGCTACACATCATCATTCAGACTGAGCTGGGTGGACAGGTGCCCAGTCATGGTGAATTTTCTGCTTAAGCGGATTCCCACTTCAGTGGCTGTTTATGACGCTCTACATTACAGAGACATCTCAACATTTGTAAAGAGACATATTGCTTAATGATCTTACTCTGTGAAATATATTCACGGAGTAAATGTCCTGTTAATAGAAGGAAATCACCATCACGCTGGTTTTGCTGTGCATTCAGGGTGGCTTCTTTGGTCACTGCGAGGAAGTAGATTTCAGGCATGATGAGTATTGCTTAGTCCTAGTGCTGTTAACTGTACAGCCATAATTTATCACCCATTATGATATTTTTAAGAACCTTCTATCTACATATCTATCTGCATATTCAAGTAAATCACAATTTTATTTCTGCTCCTATCAGCAGTTGCAGAATAAAACTTTGGTGATACAGGTCTCATTCTCAAATCTTCAGCTAAATTGTACTGACATAAACCATAATAAGTTCCTACATCTTTAGCCATTTCATAGATATAGATTTTCTGTCTTTTTTTTACTACATCATGCACTTGAAATAGTAATTTATCATTTATATTACTTGAACAGTGTTCAGGATTTTTGTCATGTTCAACTAATATCTGTCCCTCTTTAAAACAATGGGACCACTCAGAATTCACGTCCAGCTCAATGTTACATTTCCAAATGCATTTGTATTAACTTATTAGCTCTGGTTGCAGCCTTTCTCATCTCACAAAATATAATACACATATACTGTTTTGTACTCTCAGTAAAAGTAAGTAAGTAAATGTAACGGGCTGTGGAGGCCCATACGGTTGTGAGATGTTGAGGTTCTCACATTTTCTAGACAATTGGCTCATAGATGGCAGTAAGGTTGTCAGCCCTATGCACCGGCTGCCCTTTACCACCAAGAATATTCCAAGAAAATGCCTGGTACTCATTTCTGTTAGAGGCTGAGTCAACCCCAGGGCCACAGTGTGGCTGGAAGGATTACGTAAATTGAAAAAAATCCAATGACCTCATCAGGATTTGATCCCGCAACCTTCTGGCTTGTAGCATAGTGCCTCAACCAACTACACTACCACGTGCCCCTTTGTACTCTCAGTACTCCCTTTAAATACTGACCATGAACGACTGAAGCAATGAAATTAGTTGAAAACATACCTAGATATGGGGGAGCTATATCAGAATACATTCATGACAAACATATTCTGGCACAATGTAGCTTAACTGAGACATCAATTCATTGAACACTTCCTCATTAGTCCTTATTCTGTATAAAATAATTATTGCAACTGCTCTGTAATTTTAATAAATGAAACACATGTGAATAAGCTGGCTCAGCCAGCAACATTTCTGGCTTTTATTCAGGAGCTGTTCATTCAAATCTGGCTCAGAACACCAATAATCCTGACAGGATTATACTGATTTTCCTCAGTTCCTATAGGTTAAGGTCAAAATACCACCTTCAATTATGCCATAACCATGTCCTTCGACATTCTTTCTAATTCATCATCATCCAGTTATTCATCATGTCTGATTTACTGGCAGTCATTAAATAAAAAAATATAAACACTTATGTTAACTTATGTTGACCATTGCTGGGATGTTTACTGTCCCTTCAGAAGGTGGGTTCCATGCAGACACCCAAAATGGCAGATACAATCAGATGCAGGGTGCTAATCTCACAAGCATTACTATAAATTCCTACGAATAATGTAATTAATCTGACCACTGAAAAGCTTAGGCATTACAGATAAATACCATGTGGAAGAAATGACTACTTAACCTGTGGTCAAGATATCCTCTGGATTCTTTGTCTTTGTTATTCAGTAGGGAGGCATGGAAGCCCAGTCTCTGTATTGCCTCAATAATGTCTCTTGGACCTGTCAACTCTATGTCATAGCAGAACTTGCCACGTTGCGTTGTCAGGGCCACAGATGCTGAGTGGATGCCATTTAGTCTCTTCACTGCAGTCTCAATCTTGTTGACACACGATGAACACGTCATACCAGATATCTAAATAAAATGAGGACCTCTTAGTGCTGTAGTACTTCATTCAATTGAGGCACATTAATCATGCAAAACCTTCATTCAACATTCTGATATTAGTACATATGATATACAGATGGAGCAGACATATTAAGGAAGTTATAATGGGCTGAACATCTACTTTGGACATGAACCACATGAAATGAATATAGAATTTTGCCTCAGAAACTTCAAGTGAACATTTGGAAGACTATGCAGATGGGAGAGTACAATTAATATAAATTTTAGGAACACACTGTGAGAACTTTAAATAACTGAAATAGTTCTGAACATGTCAAATGTGACATTTGACATGTTCAGAACATGTTCAGAAACTTAGATATTAGCATGCTCAAAGCTTCAGGCTCAATAATTTGAGAGCTGACATATGTCTATACAGAATTCCATTAAAAAATGCTGGACTCTCTTGTTTTCAGCCTGGTACAGTGAGCCCCACAAGTCTGTCACCTGTTGGAAGCACATGTGCAAATCCCATGCCTTTATGTCTGTAAGTGCACCTATCATTTTTCTTTTATTTTGATGCCTCAGATCTCTTCCCCTTGAGTACAGGTCTGTATCTAGTCAGTATGGTAGGTGGAGGACAACAGTGTGGGTTCTGTCCATATAAAGCCAGTGTGAAGGAGTACTGTTATAGCAGAAAAAAAAACTCAAGGTTTCCATAGAATTTGCACCTAATATGAAACATAACTTGATGATCACATGCTGTTATTTAATGTCTGCCACTTTTTAGAAAAAATTAAAGTTGCAGATAGCACTATACACCTTTACTTTGCAAAGTACCATTTCTAAACCACACTATATTTCTATGATTAATGGTACATGATTCTGCAGGTTGTATATTATTATGTAGCAGAAGAACTCTGTACTAACTACAGTAGTGCCATCTTGCAGCCAATGTATGTTTTCTTTGATTGCAACATATTTTCAAGACACAATCCTCATCATAACTCCTTTTGCACAATAAATATACTCTGGCTACTGTTTACACTAATACGGCCATTGGTTTACTGTACTTAATTATAGTAAAACATCGATTTTACAGTTTTTAAGGGACCATCTAAAATAAATGTAAAATGAAGGAAATACCAATGTTACAACATAAAGAAAACTATGGCTGCTTTTATATCATAACTTTGGAAAATCATTTAAAGCACATGTCTGAACACTAACAATGTAAATATAAATGAAAATATGGTTCTTTGTTTATTTTAGAATTTATCAATTTCTGTATTCATGTAACATCAGTAAGATGAGATGGTGATTGTAACTCATAAACTCCAGGTCTGAAAAATCAAAGTTTCACTGTAATATGAAATCACAAAAATGTTGCATATCTAAAATGACTGTATTTGAGAAACATGAAATGACTAAAGCAAATAATGAAATATAAGCTAATACTTTTCATGTGGTAAGCATTTGCAGATGATACAAGTTTAGTTATTAGTAGTTATAATATACAATATAGAAATGATGTTGATATTTCCTTTGTTTATCTTAATGATTCGTTTAATTCAAACTCATTAACTCTGAATTTTAACAAACTAAACATGTTCAATTTATGACAAAGCAAAGTTCTAATAGCATAACTTATGTTAATTATCATAATAATGTGATTTTAACACACTGAGGACTGGTTGCACGATATCATGCTTTTGGCTTTTAAACATGGCGGACCGGTCGCATGATATCATGATTTTAAGGACATGTTCGGTTGCAACACACTATACCTTGCTCTGGCGCCACCCAAGTTGCATGCAATGGAGTAATAAAACTCTGGAATGTTTGCTTACTTGTCAGTAACTTGACCTCACTGTTTTCTTAACCCACTATAAACGAAAATGCTTTGATGCTCTTCGAGATGTATGTAACAGCCAGGAGTTAGTGGTGGGGTATGGACAAGGACAAATTCTTCTCCGATGAGGTAGATGACCTGACTCGTGAGACGCGTAGTCATGGTGATTCAGAGAGCAGCAGTGACAGGGGAGAACAAACAATTGTGGCCACAGACAGTAAAAGTGACGGCAGCTCCGATGATAATGGGGGTAATAACATTTCGGGGAGAGTAAAAATCTAAAAAATCACAAAAATCTAAACCCTGATTCGAAATTGAAATACAAAGCATTTCTGATGAATGTGGCAAAGGCCTGGGCTACAGACCAGATGGTGGCGGCAGAACCAGAGTCAGACACAGACTTAGTGTGACTGGGCCCATCAACTCACCCCATGCAGGCCTCATTTGGACCCCCCAGGGCGACTCTTGGGTGATATGTGGAAACATCCCCTAGTGAAAATTGTGAAGAGTGAACATTCCAAGGGGAAGCATCCTTCTAGGAAATGCCATGTTTGAACAGTTCACAAAAAAAGGAGTATGTCTACATTTGCAAGTTCTGTGCAATGCCACTTCATAAAGGGGAATGTTTCCAGAAATATCACACCCTCATGCACTTCTAGGAGCACTGGTAAGTGTTCTCCAAAAATTTTAGTTCATAAAATTAATTAGGAGATTTTATATTAATTTTTAAAGTGAACAGTGCACAAGTTAGGATAGTAGGTTTAATAATGGCAGGCCCAGGTTGATTTAAATATTGAAATCGCCGGACCTAAATGTGTTAAGTAGTACAAATCTGAAATTTTGGGGATTAGCTATTGAAAGCTCATATATCCCAACTCATGCCTAATTTTTCAAGGCTTGTTACTCAATGAGGGTGATCAAGCCCATTATGCACACAGAGACATTAAAAATGGTATATTACTCTTATTTCCATTCTCTTTTGTCCTATGGTATTATGTTTTGGGGAAATTCTTCTTATAGTATGCACATTTTCAGAATTCAAAAGAGAATAATTGGAACCACGAGTGGATTGAGATCTAGGGACTCTTGTAGAGATGCATTTAGGGGTTGGGGAATTTTGCCATTGCAGTCCCAATATATATTTTCTTTATTGATGTTTGTTGTGAATAATATGGGTTTATATCACATGACATCACAAATTCATGGCCTTAATACTTGGGGTAATTTGGATCTTTATTGCCCCCAGACAAATTTGACATCTTACCAGAGAGGACCTTATTATTTTGGTATTAAACTTTTTAATCATCTTCCTTCAAATATAAAAGAGTTAATCCATAATATTAAGCAATTTAGAGCAGCTTTAATTGTTTTTTACATATTAAATCCTATTACACTTTACATGAATATTTTAATTAGGGATAGTTTCTTGTTTAGCTATGACCCATTATTTGATCTATTGTCATGTATATGTTACAATTTTGTATTATATTTTATACACACATGGTAGGTTATGTAGTTGTATATGCTCAATTTATGTTGTTGATTTATATGCATTGTTCTGTTGACTACATGCTGATTTAGCAAGATTGTGATGTGACAGGTTCTGTATCCAATGGCTTCAGCCTTGTATGGATGTGCTGGAACGTGTAATAAATACAATACAATACAATTTCACCGAGACCAAAATAAAAATGAAAATGTAAAACTGAACACCATGAAACTCAAATATCATGTGTACATCTATATTCAACACAACCATATTATACATGAAGCTATAAAACTAGTGACTTTATAAAAAATATATTTCTGAAAACAAGACAGGAAAATTAATGCAAGAAAATGTACTTAACATGTAGCAGAATGTAATAAATAAATGTTAACTGCTGAAGAAACCAACCTTGACTTCCACCTCTCCTTCTCCTGTGCCAGGCTCTTGTATTAAGGTTGAGGGGAAGCCTAAGTCTGATATTGATGCCACTATGTCAACAGGCTGAATGCAACTAGGATCATATTTCACTTCTGCCTTTGCAGCCAGCAGTGCAATCAGGATCTCTTTTACTCCTGCAATGACAACCATCCAGTCAAATTATGATAAAGGCAGAAAAAAAAAAGCAATCCCTGTAACTAGGCATGAAGCTGAAGGAGCTCCCCAGTATCAACTGCATAGGAACCTGGGTGGGCCTAAGAAACTTACAATAATTCATAAACAAAAGGCAGTTTCAAATCCTTAGACAACAGACTTATCACTTCACTTCACTTCACTTCACTACTTGGGTTATTATTGAAGTCTTTTACAGTTACAATGTTAATGTTTAATTCAACAGGTATGAGATTCTCACAGAAGTGAGTACGAAGATTACTTTCTGCTGCAAGTGGCACTGTTTCTCACCTGACATTGCTATGCTGCATACCTGACATCATAGTTAAAATAAACATTTACACCATACTTACTTACTTACTCATGGAGCTGAGCCCTTCTTCAGGAGCCACCAATTATGCAAAGAATTTCCCACCATTTTACGGAACCCAAAGGTTCATTACCGTGTTCACAAGAGCCCTCCACTGGTCCCTATCCTGAGCCAGATCTATCCAATCCATACCATCCTATCTCTCTAAGATCCATTTTAATATTTTCCACCCATCTATGCCTTGGTCGTCCCTGTGGTCTCTTTCCTTCCGGCTTTCCCACTAATATCCTATACGCATTCCTCATCCCCCCCATTCATGCTACATGACCTGCCCACCTCACCCTCCTTGACTTGATCATTCTAATTATACTTGGAGAAGAGTACAAGTTATGAAGCTCCTCATTATGCAGTTTTCTCCAACTTCCTGTCGCTTCATCCCTCTTCGGTCCAAATATTCTCCTCAACACGCTGTTCTCAAACACCCTCAGTCTATGTTCCTCCCTTAATGTCAGAGAACAAGTTTCACACCCATACAGAACCACAGGAAAAATTATAGTTTTGTACCGATATTCTAATTTTTATGTTTTTGGACAGCAGATGACAAGACAAAAGGTTCTGGACTGAATGGTAGCAAGCATTACCCGAGTTCAATCTCCTCTTAATTTCCTCCTGAATCAGGTTTTGATCTGTTACATTTACACCATCTGTCAATTAATAAGCAAGTATGTTTGTTATGAAGGACTTTACTTTGAAGGGAGTTAATTCCATCCCTTTAAGTATAAAATCTTAGTTTTCATCGACTGTGTCAATAATTCTGATCATCAGGTTTTGTATAACAATTACATCACACCACTATGAAATATGCCTTCTGGAAAAACGTCTATAAATATTTTAAAATTCCAGCAGCTCAGTCAGTATAGTGACTAGGCCATCAGCTAGATAACCAAGGAGATGGGGTTCAATTCCTGGTATGGATATAAGATTTTTCCTTCTCCATATTGTCCAGACAGGTTCTGGAGCCTACCTACCCTCCTATCAAATATCCCCTGGGGTAAAACGGAAGCAGTGTGAAGCTGACCGTTCACCTCCATCTAGTGCTGAGGTCAAGAATGTTGGAGCTATGCTTTCACTCATCCATATGCTTTTACGGGCTAGTCCTTAATTACATAGTTAAGTACCTGGATATCTTAAAGACTAATATCACTAGTCTCCAATCACTCTAATATGATTGCTTTCACATGTTATGTGCAAGACCACACAACTGCCCCATCCTTGTTTTAATGTAAAAAGAAGAGGGACAATTATGTGAGTAAATACAGTAATATTCATAGGTGACAAAAAAGTTACATCCGTACTAACCATACAACTTGCGGCAGTGCTTCTCTATGGCAGCTACACAAGATGCACATGTCATGCCTTTAATATGAATGAAGCACTTCTCAAGATGAGCATCGTCAAGAACATCTCCAGCTTCAGATTTTCCAACAGAAACAGCCACTTCGGGCTTTTTCACAGTCCTCAGTCCTACGGCAAACATGAAAAATTCAGTCAATTAGAATAATGCAAACCAATGTTCTTTCCCTCTCACTGAAACAAATGAGCCAATAAGGCATATTGTGCCATAATACAATCTGGATGATACTTAGAGACTAATTCTGTTGCAAGTAATTAATATGCAATTTAAAATTACCATGCAAATGTTTGATTTTTAACAATTTCTGCTTCATATTTTGAGCACAGAGGTCTCGCTTGTAAAAGTTACACAGTTTTAGCCTACTCCAATTATTTTATAATTGACACCATAAATTTCAGCTTTCTATCTGATATCTAGAGGCATGAATGGTCTGATATGAGTCTGAAGGGTAAAATTGTGTGGCACTGACACAAACATGACTTAGGCTTAAATCAGCTAAAGTTGCTGTCTCTGAAAAACCTTCCTTCTAATTGCTGTGTCTTGACAGGCCACAGTATGATGTTATATTCTAAATTAATTAATATCAACATTATTTCCTAAGAGTTTTTCTTAAATACAGCTGATAAAATATCAGTGAAATAAAAACAGCCAACTACTGCCTTCAGTTTTACAACTCTCTGACAAATATCACCTCAACCAAGCCCAAGTAAAGAACTACATATTAGCCAATCCACACTTTTATCTGAAATTAATTAACAGTATAAGGAATCCAATTTATCCTTACACTGGCCAACTAAAAATTTGTTCCATTCTTGGCTGCCACACTGTTGCTTCTGTCACATGATGCTTGCTGGCCTACCTCAATAGTGCTGATGTTTAGTATGATTATTTGTCCTTTAGACACATAAAAATACAGTCCGCAGTGTTGTGAAATACAGTGCTCAGAATGAAATACAGTGTTTAACAAATATTATGCATATACGATAAGTTTGTAAAGCATTCTTGATTGAAGAAATGCTGTACAGAGTTAGGTAGGAATTATCATGATAGTAGAGTGCTGTGTAAAGCAATAATTTACAATGATGTAATGAAATTTGTTTATAAAGGATCTTAAAAAAAGATGCACTGACTGAAGAAAACCGTGATGGCACCAGTACCTGACCAGAAAAAAGCCTGAAGAAGTTGTTACATCTTTTGGCTCTTCAGTGTGGGTTGGCCAAAAGTACAGCTCTTACTGGTAAAATCTGCTAAAGATAATGGATTACAAATCTGCAGTTGTACATAACCTTTTGCCTCCATATTGCAGAACAAGAAAGCGATAATGTAGGTCGTTTCTGAAATTGATATTCAATGGACTTCCTGACCCAGAGCTTAGACTTTATTCTGATGAGGCAGATTTAATTTTAAGTGATTTTGTAAACAGCCAAGATAACCGATACCAGAGCACAGAAAGTCCTCATGCTGTTGATAAAGTGCCACTGCATGATTTAAAAGTTGGGATTTGGTGGGTAATTGGTGCATGGAGGATAACTAAGCCTGTGTTTTTTTCATGAAAACTGAAGATCTGACAGTTACATGAGACTAATTCTGTCAACATATTTTGATTAAATAATTGATAAAGAAAGACAATATAGGCATTTTATGCAGGATAATGTAACTGTAAAACAGTGAACAATTCCATGGTTGCATCAGAGGAAGTTTTTGGAGAATGAGTTGAACACTGAGAACTGTGGCCTTTGTGATCATCTGGTTTTAAATCAGATCCTCATGACTTTTATTTGTGGGGAACACTGAAAGAATAAGTGTATGCAGACAATCCAAATTTTAAGAAAATATTAGGCATGAAATTTCCACTATTCCTCTACAGGAGCTCTGATGTGTCTACAAATATATTCCAACAGTGTGAGGCATGCTCAGACAAAGAGGCTTGTCACTTTTGAGGCTCCCCTATAAAATGAGAAAAGTTAAACTACAGTAGAAAAATGGACCATAAATTATTAGCTATTATGGTAAGTCTATGAAAGAAGAATGCTACATCAGCTGTGGGAACCAGTCCACTGACAAACTGTGCACCCTGTATTAGATATAGGTTTGCATTTTTATTATCATAAGTGGTCAGAATACACACCATTATTTGGTTGGCTCCCATCTCCTTCTTTGACATAAGCATCAAACCCCATATCACAGATAAATTCAGCAATTTTTGAAGCTGTTAGAGTTGCTGGAGAAAATGTTACAATAGCTTCCTTCTTTTCCAAATCAACTTTCACACTTTTCACATCAGATTTCTCTGAAACCACACTCTCAATGTTCTTTACACATGAATTGCATGTCATTCCTTCCACGTGTATTTTGCATGTGATGCTGTCTGATGAGGACGGAAGAAATGCATCAAATCCCATATCTTCAATGGCTGAACACAAAACTTGTGGATTTGTTACTGAAGGATTGTAATAGATGTACCCTGCTTTCTCCTTCAGGCTAACCTGTAAATACACAACCACCTTTACATACAGTAGCTAATACACTCATCAACCTCTAACGTTTGGACACAGAAAACTTTTGAAAAATAGTGCTCATGAATATAACAGAGGGCAATGAGAGCCTTTCAGTCTTCAAAAGCATTGATCTCTAATCCTTTGGGCCCCACACATATCTGCGTGCCAAAACTTGCAATCCTGTTGAACCGGAGTATTTCATAAAGTACGGTTAATTAACGCTGGGATCTTAAACCATTCCCAATTCATGAATCAGTAGAGCAGTATTGGGTTTTCCAAGGATCAGTTCCATATCCACTCATACTGTACAGCACAAATACAATTAATTGACACACATTCCGTCCCAAGTGCAAACAATATATATTATATGTCTTTGATCNAAAATTTAAATTTTAAATTTAAAATTTAGAGAAAATTTTAAAAGGTTTTAAAAACATCATAACTAAAGTTTTTTAAAGTGCTACTACAAGAATATCAAATTTGATGGGTGCAACATAATCTACATACCAGACACATATCAACGATGTAGATATTGATAATACGAAGAATGTGACATTGTGTTTTTAAATGTTAAATTTTAGACCGAGTTCAGTGTGGCAGCAACGTTAAGAGTATACACCTGATGATGGCCGATAGAGGCCGAAACATGTAGTGTAGAAAGAACAAGATCAAAGACATATAATATATATTGTTTGCACTTGGGACGGAATTTGTGTCATTTATTGTATAGAGTGCAACAGGATGCTTAAATATAATATTACAAATACAATTATTACACAATCAATACTGTTACGTGGTTTCCAAATTGAAGACATGACATATTCACCCACAAAGAGCATTCACAATAAAAGAGTATGCAGAAGGGAATATGAAATAATGTAACTGTCAGAACATATCTGTTGTCCATGGATCTCAGGTTTATAACAAAGGCCTGCCTCTCCTTTTCTGAGGATTATAGCAACTGATTCCAAAACTGCATATATTCTTCCAAACCTCTCTATTGGTAACATAATTTTCAAAAAGGGACAAAGTAAAGAGGCAGCGATCCTCATACAAACTACCCAGTTCCTAAAAGAAAACAGAGAAACATGAGCAAATGGTCGCTGGTTGTAAAACAGCCATTTTTCCAGCTGTAGTGATACAGAGTGCACACAACAGTAAGAGCGTTTGCAGACCACACAAAACTGTGAACAGGCAGTGGTCAGCAGCAAATAGTTTGAAAAAATAAGCTAGTGGATTTAAAGGTATATCAGCTATTAGTCAATTGCTCCATTAAAAATACCCTACTTATGGTGTAAAACATGTATGGCCATATTTAGAATGTTGTCACATACATTTCGTAGACCAACTTCATTAACATGATAAATTTTGATACCCTTAGCAAAATGGACTAAGTATTTTACAACTTTCTAGGAAAAAAATCTATTCGGGAATGTTTTTGATATTGTACAGCTACTATTAGAACACAACGAAATTGTTATATGGTAAGGCAGTCACTCACCTTTATGTTGAGAACACCTGGCATGGAGCCAATGCTTCCCTCAATACTGCTGACACAAGACTGACAGGTCATTCCAATGATATCAATCTTAACATTAGCCACAGATGTCTGCAGTGATGCATCAAAACCCATGTCAGCAATATTGCTTCGAAGTTCCTCTGGAGAAGTCAAGCTTGTGTTATAAATAATGGTAGCGGTCTTCTGTTCCAAGTTCACCTAGACATAGGACAGTATATCTGCAATGCAATATATGGATGCACACCTCAAGTATGGACAGAAGCCAGGACAGACCTTCAATGGAAGCAATCAAGCAGCACTTTTTGATAAAATGTATTTTTTAATATAAACAAAATAATGGATAATTATGGAAGGAATATTTCTCATTGGTGACTGAAATGAGCCACAAATACATCTCATATTCTGAGTTTATTTTGGCTTTCAAATAATCCCCTATCATCTGCTTTGATTATATAAGGATGTCTATCAATATGAATTGAGGACATGGAATGAACATTGCCTCTTTTAAAGTACTATTCCAGCATTTGCCTCAACAGATTGAGAAAAACCATGAATTTTTCAGTCAGGACAGCATCCTCGCCAAAAAATTAAATCAGAAATATCTTAAATACAAACAGGAGTTCTGACAGGGTTAATTTTTCTTACTATTTATATTAAATAAGATGTAAATATCATCCAAGTATACCTAGTTTATTTACTTATGTTAATTACATATCATTAGAATCCCATCATGCTGGTCACAGTAGCTGAGTGGTCTAAGACATGTACTGTCTTTGCGTGCTCGGAAGCTGGGATCATGGGTTCGAATCCCACACAAGGCATGGATGTTTGGTATGTGTATGCATTTATTCTATGTTTGTGTTATCCTATGTTTATGTAGAGGCCTTGTGATGAGCTGATCACTCATCCAAGGAGTCCTACCATCTATAAAAAAAGCAATAAAATAATTCCATCATGTAGTGGTCATGCAAGACCATGTTCAGACAATATACCACATTAAAGGAAACTCACAATTCATACAAATAAAATAAAGGATTTAAAACGTCTCAGTTGTTAATTTCGGTTCTGCAGGAATATCTGCAATTTCCTTACAAATATTTTCTTTTAGTTCTTTTTCTGTTCAGGGGCTACTGTTGTAAACTTTGTCCTTCAAACAACCCCAGAAGAAAAAATCGTAAGAATTAAGATCAACGAAGTTAAAAACTCTCTGCGCACGCACACATGAATGATGCATGATGTGTGCGAATGCACACACAAATACTTGTAGTGGTTACAGGGCTGTGCACCTTTCATAAATTGTTTCCACAGTGCAGAACCATCAAACAGCGTCATCCAGAAGATGGTATAAAAACTGGAAACTACCGAACTCCTACAGACACAGCATGAAGGGGTTGGCCTGCAATGAGTATGACATGGCGCAGGACATCCAGATACAGCTCCTGGATTCACCTGTAGTCATTACTGACACAAGAGACTGGCATGTCATTGTGGAGAAGAGTGGCAAGGAAAGGTTGGATTCATCCGTATGATGTTACTGTTGTCCAGGAACTCCAGTCTCACAACATGCAGGAAAGCATGGTTCCAAACATTTGTCACCAGAACCCCAGCATCTCACACATGATGTGGTTTTCTGATGGGGCTAGCTTTCACATGTCAGAATACATCCACTCACAGAATACACAAGTGCTGGGTGCTATAAATCCTCAAGCCATTAATGAGAAGTTCCTCTAACCATTGGTGGAGTCTAGTTTACTCTGTCACAAACCCATACTAACTGGCCTCCTTTTCTTCCATAGGTTCACCAACACTGATGTTTACTTTGGAATTTCCCAGTAATCTGTGAGTCCATTGGATGACCAAAATATGACATTCTACTAATTTCTGCAAGGCAGGGAGTGATGCATCACACATCAAAGAGTGCTTTGGAAGATATCCTTTTCAAACCATAATGCTGGGAGGGGGAGGATTGGCACCAATCTCTGCTCTATCCCCCTTCCTCCCTTCTTTTTCAGCACAGAACAATAAATATTCTTCATAACTCACAAAACTACATGCTCTGACTCTGAAGATGGAGACAGCATGTACCTCTGAAATGTTGGCAATGCTGCCACAACTACACAGTGCAACAGCCGAAGAAGAAAATCAACATAAAAAATTAACCACTGTGAAAGCCTAAAAACAGTAATATATATTTTTTAAACTGGAGTATATCTTTCCCTTGCTGAGTTGAATGGACATATAATACTAAAACCAGAAGAACAGAAGGATTTCCTGGACTATGTCACAGCATACACCAAAACATCCAACTCACCATGCACAGAGACAAAGGATCATCTGGATACTGATATATATATATATAAGACCAGATGGCTCCTTGGATCAGATAGTATAGCAAGCCCAGCCACTAGGACCACCACTTGAATACCAGATCACACCACCATCCAATGAACTGTGGGAGCACCCACAGCGTCTGGCAGACAACCGTCACCCCTTTCAGAAAGTGCCAAACAGGCAGGGGTGACCGAAGAGACACAGAATTTATACACACTCCAACTACTACAACTTATATACCAGCTACATATATTTATAAACTTCACCGTGGCCCCGCCTTTCCGTGCACGGCCCAATGGATGCGCACCGTGACAACTGCAACTTTAGCTCCGCCTCTCGGCCGGCAGTATTTAAGACCGGGAGCCAACGGTGCAATCAGTTCAACTCGAAACGGCAACATAGTCAGAGGCATCAACTCCACTTCTGCGACCGGCTAACTGACATAGTTGATGCAAGCCTTCAGCGAATGCATCTTCCATGACCCAGCAACCGGCCGAGCCAGTCGATCCTACCGGCATGCGCAGCACTGCATCACCGCCCAGACAGGCCAGCTAGACGGCCGTAAGACTCTGCCCACTACAGAGGAGTGAAATTGCGGTGGAACGAACTGCCCTTAGAGGGCCAGCCAACGCTTCAATATTATATGTATGTGTTCTGTAGATTGACTTTAAACGATTCAATATATACAATCGTACAGTTTTGTGTGGTTTGTCTATTGGAGTATTGACGACAATCCCACAGAACAACCAGCTGTGTTTCCCACCTTGGCACATACAGCCAAAGCCATTTGTAACCAGAAGAGTCTCCATGCTGAATTAGAATTTTCAGACAGAATGGCTATATCAACAGGCAAATTCTTTGGCTCTGAATCCATCAGAAATCACACTATCTGGACAGAATCCAATTTCAGCAGCTCTTTTAATCTTGGTTGCATTGGGAGGTTGCATCCAAACACAATATAAGAACTGTGGTCACCAGCTGAGGAAAGTATTAATTATCCTATGTACTATGAAAATAACCTAGCCCAAGACACTGGGCATATACAAGAGCCTCTGCAAGCGTGAGATAGTTTACGTACAATAAACAGATCAGAGGTACTATTGCCACATCTGTCACTTTGATCTAGACCAGGCATGTCCAACACATTAATCGCAGGACGATTTTTGGTCGATCTCATAGGCCTATAAGGAAATTATACGAGAAAAGCATGTAAATTTACTTGTAATATAATATGATTATATTCAGATTTTGAAGGGAAAATACGTATTAAATTAGTCTGCACTTTCAATGTGTGTTGCTTTTACAACAAACATCATGCATTGTGTTATTTTTACCAATATTTTTGCTTAAAGTGAGGTACGATGATAGGAGGGGGTGGTAGATCACTGGCAGTTTTGACACTAAAAAGTCGATCACAACCTGTTTGAAGTTGGACATGCCTGATCTAGACAATTCTGGAATAGCAGAATAATATAAAACTGGGTCATTGTATCCTCCTACAGAACACCTCCCCCTCCCCTCAAAAACCCATAAGCATGGCCTGGATTGTTAGGAAAGTGACAGAGATTCAGCTCCATCCTAACAGCATAAACAGAGGAGATGGCTTCTTCCTGAGGTCATGAAAGCCTTTCATTCCACCCTGAAAGAACGAAAGAAGGGTCTTTTAAGGCCAAGTCTTGGCGTTCCTCTGCCTGTGGCTCTTTCATATTTACACATTCAAGGCCTTTGTGTTGTTGTTAGTCTTTTCAGAGCTTATGCCCCCCCCCCCAAGAGGGCAGTTCCTCTTCCCCATCTCTTACTCTGATTAGATATTTCTCCTGTCCTCTGTGACCCTTCCCCCCCTATCTTATAGAACCTGCCCCTTTCCCACAGTGGTTCACATCTACCATGAAGATGGAAGCAGCATTTTCCTCCAAAACGTTGGTAACCACCTGCCACATTCTATGCTGTAATAATCCAGAAGACCACAATATAGATTTCACAGATGTACAAAATGATAATTTGTGATAAGCAGTCAACCATTATCTCTTGGAAAAGACTGTTCACTTGTTCCAGATGGGACATTACCCTACAATCATACAAGTCTGTGATGCAAGATATCCGTGATATGACTCACACAACTTTGGAAGATGATGGAAACAAAAGATAGTATATAGCAGAAGCATGGTACATTATCATTAAAGGAAGCCTGGTGTCAAACAGGACTGAATGTTCAGCAATGATTAGAACTTAGAAACCAGATAACAAGCTGTGTCATTAAACTGTCCATGCATATCATTTTGAAGTCCTGATTAATGTTGCCGTTAAAAGAATTTTTGGGATATGTGATGCACTTTCAAAAGAATCAAGAATTCTCCTTGGACTTTCACATAAAGTACATTTGTTCACACCTTACATACCCCATATTTGACACAATCCGAATGCCAAATTCTTTACAACTAATGCATACTTTTAATATACACTTAACAAAACTGACTTCCTTGTTCTCCTGAAATTATTCACCTGGTCAGAAAATTCCTTGCTCTTATGAAACCCAAAATTAAGTGGTGTGTTCACAAGTTCACCATTGGCCCATACCCTTAACCACCTCAGGCAAGTTCACATTTCCAAAACATTTTTTAGATACACTTTAATATTATTCTTCCTTCTACACTTATGTCTTTAAAGTGTGTTCATTTCCACATCACACAAAACATAATGTCTGTTTATATAAATGAATGTTCCAACAATAGGAGAGTTTCTACGAATCATAGTATGAAATACTACCCTCACACTGCACTTAAATATATATAAATTAGTTTCTCTTTTGTTTCATGTGACTGTATAATATGATCTCAAATTTGAGGAAAGCATGAATCACTGGTGAGATCTGATGCTCTCACAGCACTGGGTAAGAATACTGTCTTCTTGGTGTGATACAACAGTCTGGTACATCATTACCCAGTTCCTCCGAAACATCAGTAGATATCCGGATTACATAGCATCACTTCTAAAAGACAATATTCTTCATAGAGAGGCAGTTTTTGAGAAAGTGCAAAACATCTGGACCTACAAGAGGTGAAAAAAGTGAAAAATCAAATTCCATGGAGAACTGATTTATCTAGTTCTCCTAATATTGTTACGGAAGAGTAATCAAGATTACAGTAGAATGGATATATAACGTGGATGGGTGATGGATGGCACACTTTTAGAGTTTTAGGGAGAAACCTCTTAGGAAGTAGCAACTTGGATATGAAAGTTGGGAAGATAAAATTAACATCTTCTGGGATGTGGCATCTATAATTTGGTAGAAAGGTACCAAACCACACAGTGCCATATCTAGAAGATCAATAATCTTAATGTCTGCCAATGAGGACCGCAGATCTTACAAAGGAGGACAACATTACGTTGAAACCTTACACAAAATGGTTGTCAGAATGAGAGAATATGAATTGGATTGAAATGGCTCAGGATTTGATGCAATCATGCACATGTGTTTTACAATTTAACTACTGTTAGGAGTTACCATGATATTTTGAACTCCAGGCTTGTCTCTCATACTGTCTTCAATGGTCCGCACACATGACTGACAAGTCATTCCATCCACATTGATCACTACATTTTCAAGATCATCAGCTGCTGACATCAATGGCTCACTGAAGGCACCAAACCCCAAGTTGTCCATTGCATCCCTGCAAATACCACATATCAAAATCATGCACTAAAACATAAATATAGCTTTATACATAAATGCACAATTATATAAGCAATCTGAAAGCACTTAGAACAATGTGGGATTTGAGGCTCTCATAGCAGGTTACTATGAATGGTACTGTCTCATGGAATGTGAAGTTGTCTAGTCTAGTAGAAGTTCCCTGATGTTACGGAATTCAAGATTATGTCCCTGGCTTACTCTTCAATCCTGACATGAAGGCAGTATGTTCCTACAAAACGTTGGTGAAGTTCTACTTCTACTGGTCTAAATGGTGTCAACTTATAACAAGCCTAGAAAGCATACACCATGTTAAAGACTGGGCATTCATAACATGCTGTTAACACAAACAGGCTGAACAATATGTCAAGGTTGAGTGATTAGCACTCCTGTCTTATATTTAGGATGTCATGAGATAAAATCTCGGCCTATAGAATGACTATCCTGACTGAAGGTTTTCATGACTTCCCTCAGTCCATCCACAAAGCTAACAGGGCAATTCCTTACAATAACCCACTATTGTTTCCTTCCATATCTTTTCCAATTCTCAGTGCCCTACCATGCTCAATACAGTAGCTCAAACTTCAATTCTCTTTTGATGGCATCTCCATCCACGCACCAAGACAGGGTTGCTCCACTAAAATGCACTGCTTTGATGTTCAGTAATTTCCAATTCATTACTGACTACAGTCTTATCATTAAATGCTATACGGTCTGAGATACTGACAGCATCATTAAATAAACAGCAAATACATAAATAAATAAAATGGAAAAACACAAATACAGCATTCATCATTACAAAACTTAAGAGTCAGGACATGTATTTAACTTCATATCCAATCTATGCTTTTTCTTAACTGACCAGCCAAGCAACCAACTATCCAACTCAATGGAGCTGGGTCCAGTTCTATTTGAGAAGCCAGAAGTTGCTCAGCCACCCAAGAAGTTCCTGGCCTTTTTCAGTACCCAAAGGTTCATTATTGCCAGTGGTCTCTAACCTGAGCCAGATGAATCCAGTCAATACCCCATCATCCTATTTCTTTAAGTCTATGGCTATCCTAAACATCAAAATCATAAATCAGATATCCATTCCCCTAATGCAATCAGACACAAAGGAATTACTATGGTCAAATTATAAACAAGCTGATTAATCCCAAGAATTTTACAGGTAAACCAGGAGGAATTTCTGCAAAACTTCAGTCCTCCTACTCATTCTTTTCAGAGTAAGTTTTGTAGGAGTAAGCCAAGCAATAAGCACTGCATGACGCAGTCAGAAAACTTGCTGCTAGTTTCTTGTCTGGCTTACTATTCAACTCTGAAGATGGAAGCGATACATTCTTTCTAAACGTTGGTTAACTTTCACCGGACTATACAGCATTATGCCGCAGATGATGATACAACAGCAACCACTGTGAGAACTTAAAATCCAGTTTGAATTTCATAGTTAACATTATGAACACAATTAGGTTCATGGAAATTTATGTTGTAATAAATGCCATAGCAAATAAAAATGTGCAAAATGGCTGATGGAACGATGAGTTTATTAAAATATTACTCTCAATCTTGCAGATAGCTGCAGTTTCCATAACTGTGTCTTTATCAAGACTATTAAAAGTACATTACGCTAGTAATGTACAATATGTGATGCAAGCATTGTGAGACTGTTTACATACATAAGGAAACACGCGCCTTCAGACAGTCCACAAATGTTCATTCTCTTCCAACGGAAAAAAACTTGGCTGTTCAGCACATCAGAAGAATCCGTCAGGCATTTTTACTTAAAATGTTGAGCCTCTGAACCATTCGAAACAAGCGACGAAAATTTATCAGTTACTGTTCGATTGAATTTGGGGTTATTTTATAACAGACATAAACTGTTCAGATTATGTAGCATACAATTAAATATGGTAAGACGAATGTTAAAAATAAATCGCGTACTTTAATCGGCACAGAAACTACGAAGTCTCGATTAGTATACCCGGTTCCCAAACAGTACTGAGACCTAGCAGAACGTATTACCGCTGTGCCAGTCTGGCAGGAAACTAATCCAGAATTTAACATCTTCCTTCTACTGAAAAGAAAGAGCCGGGATAGCCCAGTCGGTACATCGATAGGCTATCGTCTGGACGGCTGGGGTTCAATTCCCAGAAAGAGAAAGATTTTTCTCTCCGCCACATCATCCAGACCGCCTATCCAACGGGTTCCAGCGGCTCTTTCCCGGTAGGGTAAAGCGGCCGGGTCGTGAGCTGTACCTCCACTCCATGTCTTCATGGCGTGGCGCTCAATTAAGCACACGGACAACTTTACCTTTTTACCAAAACGAAAAGACGTTCAAGCTGAAAAAATATACTATTTAGCTTTCAAAGCAGTGATTACTATATATACCACTTGCTTTACTGATCAAAAAGCTCTGCATTTTGCCCCCGGTGTTAATTTATGTGCTTCGTATGACTGTCAGAATAATAAACGTTGATTATTTCCCTAAGAGCAGTAATCGATTGGTCTCTCTAACGGGGATTCACCGTGATTTCTGTGCACTAGGATTACATTATTTACATGAACTTCGGGACTAACTCGCATCTCGACAAAAGGAACCGCCATGCTTCAAGACACGATGTCTGTGACATGACGCAAAGAAAAGAGCACAGTTGAAATGAATGAGATTATGAAAACCAACGCATACCAGTCTGAGTCATGATGCTGACGTCAGATTTATGCTGCAGACACGAGCAGCAAGACTCGACATGTTCCTTTTCTGTGAGTCATGACGGTCATGACTCAAGACATCAGTACTCAAGGGAAAGCACCAGCGTAGATTATCGACACGAGTGAAACGCATTACGTCATGTCATCAACTAGAGCAGATGTGATAAGACATGCTACTTCGGTGTGCGGACTAAAGTATGAATCACGAATGAAGCAAGATTGCGTCTTTTGTCTCAAGTTCTGATGCTTGTCTTGACGCAGTTGGTGTGCGGATGCCCTAATACGAACTGTGCCTCGTTGTGGTCAGCAAATTTGACTGTGACGACAGCAATTCAAAGAGCAGTAATTCACAAAGTATGCAATTTTATTTTGGAGACTCTGGTTTTAAAATTGACCTTTCCGGTACATAAACTTAGTATATGTTCCAAGAAAAGAGTTAAATAAAAATTCCTGTCTCGATTGTTTCACTACTCAGTATCAACTGAGGCAGAGGCAACGTTAGAAAAGGGAACAAGATGGCTACCAATCGTGAACTCAAGAGGACGCAAAAGGTGCTAATCGTACTCTAAGGTATTTTGCATCCAGAAGGAGCGAAACTCCACTGCGACAGCTGGTATTCCGGCCAATATCCAAACAAGGTGCCTCCCGACTGGGGAGTAGCCATGTTAACTATATTCATTCTGACACAGAAGAAAGCCAAGTCTCTAAATCCATAACAAAACAAATAAAATAAATTAAAAATAATAAAGGATGAATCATCAAAATATTTTTAACCTAAGAATCTAACAAATGAAAACAAGAATTTCAAACAAACGGGCAAGAAAATCATGTCAAACCTCTGTTCTCTAATATGGTCTCCAATGTAAAAGTAAAGGTATCCATGCAACAGGCCGTGGAGACCCATAGGGTTGTGAGATGTTGACGTTCCCACATTTTCTAGACAATCCGCTCACAGATGGCGGTAAGGTTGTCAGCTTAAGTGCCGGCCGCCCTTTACCCCCCAAAATATTCCTGGTACTCATTTCTGTTTGAGGCTGAGTCGACCCCAGGACCATTGTGTGGCTGGAAGGAATAGGTAAATTTAAAAAATCCACCTCATCGGGATTCGATCCCGCGACCTTATGTATATCATCATAATATGAAATCAAAATTGCATCAGCAATGTCTTACCACTCTCCAGATGGATAAACGCCATAGCTTCTCCGGTTCGGTGAATGCTCTGTAATAAATAACAGAGGTTTTCTTTCCTCTGCCATGTTCACAAAAATGTTACTGATAGCTGTTATAATTTCCCCGACTGAAATAGTAATAATAATTCCTTCCAAATGTATCGCTAACGCTATCTATAGGAATATTGAAATTGGAGCACTAAGATGTTAAGAGATTTCGAAATTGAATGACCTACACCGTCACACAACGTAATAAAAATAATAACTGTACTTAACACCGCAGAGTCCTACGCACAGAAATAGAATATTAGTATGTCCTAATCCCAGCTCATAAATAAGTAAAGGAGGACTGTCAAATTGAATGCATTTTATTGTCATCCGATTTTGCACTCTTCCCTTAGCAAACAGTGCCGGGTGGATAAGGTTTTACTACTACCATTGTCACAAACATTAATGTTGGCATGGTTAGTAGACAACATACATCTGCGTCATTCAATATTTATGTTCAGAAGTATACACATATAAGCGGCTTTAGCATGGTAATTATCTATACCATGAAGTTATGTAGGACAAAACAGGGACACGTTTACAACGTATTTACGATTACAGATTTGTACCACGCAATTTCCGACACACTTTGCAGTGACGCAGTGAGGTATACGCTGTTGGACTTCTTTCAAACGAGCCGTTTACAGATTTATAAAAACTCCACGGTACTCTGTGCATATCTGACACAAACTAACCAAGCAGTCCAATCCGAACGTCCGCTTGGTTCAAGACGATCTCGATTCGAATCCAGCCAATGGCGCTGTTATAGCCAATCATCCCCTTCCCTCCAGTTGGATGTTTCTAGTGGTTCTAGCGTGGCCTAGGTCCTCTATGGAGAAAGAACAGGAATCCTTGGGAGTGATAACAAGGAGTGAAAACATCCGGAAATGGGGGAATAACTTCTCGAAAGGAAAACGAGGTTGTCAAATTACACAGCACCGAACAAATAATAAACAGGCCTACGCCATGAACACTTGAGGTAAGGGAAGTATTAGAACTAGTACAGTGACGTTTTCTACAAACAGAAATGACACTGAAAATCATATTACTCGTACAT